CATGACTCAGTGTTTGAGACCAAGCCAGGAGAGGTACTACACTTAGTCATTCAAAAGCCCCATTGCTGATATGGTATTGAGTATCATGAGCAGGCTCCTGAGGAGGTTTTGTTTTAAAAGTTTAAGCCATAATGATGCTGATGACCATGATCTCTTGATGTCAGAGTTGAAAGAGATTGTAACCCCCCCCCCCCCCCTGTGTATTACAAATTCTCACTTGCTTTCTTCTGTTAGGAGAGAAGGAGGCACTTTTGTCATCTTTGCTTGAGAAGGAGAAGTCCAGATTATCTCAGTAATTTCATTGGTGACTCCCATAATCCTATGCTTATTAAAGCCTTTTATCACAACAATGGTGGGAGCAGCTAATCCTAGGAATATAAATAATGAAAGATCTATGACAAAATACAAATTAAAACCACAAAGAAATATCACTATACACAAGAATGGCTAAAATAAAAAGGCTGACAGTATCAAGAGTTGGTGAGGATGTGGGACAACCCAAACTCTCACATGTGACAGTTGGGAGTGTGAAATGTACAACCACTGTGGAGAATTGATAAGCAGTTTCTTATAAAGCTGAATATACACTTACCATGTGACCTAGCCATTCCCATGATCAGGGCCTGGGAGAAATGTGGGAGGCTGGCCAGTTAGGGAGGGATCATGGGAGGGCTCTAGGGTTTGTCTGGCCTGTCTCAACCAGTTCCGATCAGCTGGACCCCAGCTACAAGCTAAGCTACTGATTGGAGCGTCTGCCCCCAGGTAGTCAGTGCACATCATAGCGAATGGTTGAGCGGCCTTAGCATATCATTAACATATTACACTTTGATTGGTTGAATGGCCAATGGGTTGACCGGACACTGAGCATACTAAGCTTTTATTATACTAGTATAGGATGGTGTGAGAAAGAGGGAGTGATGCCTTACAAGTAAGCATGAGGAATTCTTTGCAGTGATGTTGCAAGAATGTTGTGGAAATGTGTCAAACTGTACACTTAAAAGAGTGCATTGTATCACACATGAAGTTGATTTTAAAAGATTAGGGATCTAGTCTGAGCTCTACTACTAATTAACTAGCTCTATGTGTTCTTGTGAAAGGAGCTTAATCTAAAAAAAGGAGCTTAATCTCTCTACATCTCTTTCCTATTAAGAAAATGGGGACAATAGGTAGCTCACCTACCCCATTTAATTATTGTGTATTATAAATGAAATCATTTACTTTGAAATGCATTTAAGAAAGTATACTATAGAAAGTATAAAGTCATAAAAAGTATAAAGTCATACACTAATGCTGGCTGGGGGTTAGGGGGAAATTCCATAAACTCCTCTTAAGGGAAGAAAGGCAAGAACTGTGATAACCAATATATGAGTGCATATATATATATAGATTGGTTTGTATTTGCAAGTCATCTTTTAACTCTGTGTAACATTGGTTGTGTCACTGCCCCTCTACCCATCAGTAAAATGACAGGGTTGGACTAGATCAGAGGTAGAAAACTGTAGGCTCAGAGACTCTTTATGGCCTTCCAAAGGTGTTTTCTTTAGCCTCTAAAGGGTCGTGGCATTAGGAAGGTTGAGAACCACTGCTCTATAGTGTCGGCCTGTCCATTATTTATTTAAAATATGACTAGTTGCCAGTGTTTAAAACTGTAGATTGCACATAAAGTTTTGTGTTTCTAGTTTATCTTTATGTGTGTGTGTGTGTGTGTGTGTGTGTGTGTGTGTTTCCAGTTTATCATTAGAAGTGAGCAAATCTGAAAAAACTGGGTCCATATTCCTACACGGCAACAAGTGCCTAAAATTGTGTAGTAGCTGCTGCTTTTTTGGGGCCATATGCTTTAGTTTCCCACAGTCTCCACCACACTCTGTATCCTTTTCTATTCTCTGTAGTAACATTAAGAGCAAAGCTAATTAATTTTATAGTGCCCATTTTATGTTAGGACATGATTATACAGAGGGGAACCAAACAGACAAAATATCTATCATAGTGAGTAGAAAGTACTTATCAAAAATTAGGAGAAAGTTAGACCAAGAGTGCTATATATTTTAGGGAAAGTGGGAAAAAATACGTTTCTTTGTGAAACTAAAAAAAAAAAAAAAAAAATCCCATATATCTCATAGGCAAGAGTGTGTATGTGCTACAGTTATCTTACCTGTTTTACTTGCTTACCTCACAAAATGGATCAGATCTTTTTTCTTTTTGTGATTCAATAAATTCGTGGATTATCCAAAAAACTTACTCCAGTAAAATCATGGAGATTATTTTAGTATTTCAGAAAATGCCGGTAGTCAGAGAGAGTATTGAATATTAGCTGTTCTTAGCTCTGTTCAAACTATCCCCACCTTAGCGTAAAATTTTTCCATTTAATCAAGCTCTTGTGATGCAAGTCATTCTGAAATGAGCTTCTTATTAACTCATATAGCTGCCTTCTGCAGTGGCCTGAACCCTGGTTCTTGTATACTGGAGACGTATCTTGCTATCTCCCCTCTACCTTCTAGTAACTTATATCTCTATTTGGTCAACTACACAGTTTATATTGGCCAAGATTTTATATTGGCAGCCCTTTCAGGCTTATATTTTGATTGCACGGTCAAGAAACCCTGATTTAAATGCTTCTCAACCTGCAAATAGGCCCTTGTATGGGCATAGATGCTTAATAAAATGGTTCTGTTTCTATTAGGCATGTGGTTTATTGCTCTGCCTTTAGATTTATGAAGGTCATGGGCTTTGAGAATCTGGGCTGGCTCTTTTCAACCAGTTGTGCTTATCTAGATTGTGTGGTAGGCATCTGGCTCATTTCTTCAGTCTTGGCTGGAAAGGTCATCTTGCTACCTGGTGAAGAAAACGACACTGCCCCCATCTGGTGGCAGTTACATCAAATTGCTGCATCATTAACTTGCTTCTGAAAGGATTGCCTTGTTCTTTATTGGTGCCATGCATCATAGAACTGCAGGAAATGGCCATTCCCAATTTTTGTTCTGCAGCACTGTCAGCACTATCAGGGGATTGCACAGTTTCTCTAAGGTACATGAACTGGAAAGAACACATTTTGGACAATCAGGAGATTGAACCTGTTCCAGGTTCTGCCCATAACTAGCCATGGGACTCGTAAGCCTCAATAGGTTCTCTACCCATAAAGCAAAATGCTTGAACTTAATGTTCTCTAAGGCACTCTGGTATAAAATCTGTAGTTCTGTGATTTTTTTTTCAAAATTCAAAATATTTATAAAATGAAACACAACTTAGACTGTTTACAAAACAGGTATGAATATACATTGAAATTTTATACTTTATACTATCGTTTTCCTCAGTTCTTGATTCTAAGACACATCATGAATTTTAATAGTCTTTTTTTGGAAGGGAGACAAATAGCATTTTATTAAATGTGCATATTTATAATAAGAAAATTTCAGATATTGAAAAAAATTAAATTGTAAAAATTTGCATCTTGGCATTGACATTTTGGGGGGTGAATGTGTGATAAGTGCATGTAAGGGTTAGAAATCTCTTTTTGTAAATACTCAAAGTTCTAGAATTACAATTGAGCAGTGTTAGTGTAATTTAAAGTATTAGGAGAAAATGGAAAATGTTATTGAGGTACAAAGATTAAAGAGATGACAGTTGAAATTAAAGATTTATTTGGGTGATTCATAAGTTATATAAATGTCTAATCATAGGTTTTATACCTGAAACTAATATTACATGTCACTGTAATTGAAAAATAAAAACAATATTTAGAAAAAATAAAGATTACTGGAGGGTGGAGGGGGTGTCAAGCAGGGAAAAAGGAGACATATATAAAACTTGAGACAATAAATAGAAAAAGATTATATGGTAAATTTTAATGTTTATCTGAATACCAAAGAAGAGCATAGTGACAGTAAATATATAAACATGCAGTTTCCAGGATATCATTATCAATATACACATTGGAACATTTGAATCCATTAAAAATTTTCTAACACAGAATTATGTGTGTATTTTAACATGAAACAGTGCTTTATGATTAAAGCTCTCTTTCGTTATAAGGAACAGAAACTTACTCAAGCTGACTTAAAATGGAATAATTATTGTAAAGATGCAAAAGGAAATGCTGTGAACATCAACAAACAGGTGCTGAAGTTCAGCTGGGCTTCAGAGGAACTAGAATGGTAGTCAGTATCCAAGTCCTGTCTCAGGCCTGAGATCTCTATAATCACTGATGATTGCTCTATTAATTTTGCATATGGCTGTTAGCCCCAAACCAATGCCATAACTTCAACTCAAGTTCCCATACTGGTGACTTCCCTCTGCATTCTCCTTCATCTAACTAGTGATTACCTCTGTGCAGTGATTTGTTGTTGTTGTTGTTACATAGGCTCAATGCACAGGATAGTTCAAGCTAAATTATGAAGGTACACGAGCAGGCAGATGGACTAAGTGTCCAGTATAGGTTCCACTTATCCCAAAGCCTTCAACTTTGACAGCTGTGCAGCACCTTATCCATCTATAACCCCTTTTAACAATTACACAAAACACTTCATACAGTGTACGGGGAGTGATGACAAGGTTAAGAGTTCTAAGGATTTGTAGAACTCTAAAGTGTAACAAATTTAAAGTATTTAAGAATGCTTCAGCTAGTAATTATTGCATTAAAGGGAAAAATAACACAGAGCTTCACAGGATTATAGTTAGAATTAAGAGCTCAAAGTGCCTCGGACAGTAGTTGGAATGTAGTTTTTTCCCTTTCATCTGTTTATCTGTTTATCTGTAGGTTCTTTTGAAGGTAGTTACTATTGTTCCTTTCTCCTGAGATTGGTGTTTAGGAACAATTTCTCTCATTTCTGCCACCCACCCGATTGCCTCTGAGTCCCGAGAATCTAAGATTGCCTTCAAAGCCAGGCCCATGCCAAGCGTAGTTGACAGTGGCATCAGCACCACCAACAGTGACAGCAGCCACCAAAAGTCATTGACTTTTCCAACATGACTCAGAAGAACTTGTATGTTTGTTTCTCTCACAGGTGGATTTGCTATCGTGTTTCTAGTAAGGACAAGCAATGGAATGAAATGTGCCTTGAAACGCATGTTTGTCAACAATGAGTATGATCTCCAAGTGTGCAAGAGAGAAATCCAGATAATGGTAAGGCTGCCCCTCAGACTTGACCCTGCTTGTTTAAAACGGGGGTGGGGAGAGACTGTGCCCTCTCATGAGAAAGGCAGGGGGGAGGGGATTGTTCCCTTTCCCGCACATGATGGGAATGAACAGCATTGCAGTGTAGGATGCCGCTCCTGCCTTGGTCACCTTCGGTTGCAGGTTTGAAGGGAAAAGGACCTATTGAAAGAACAGCTATACTTTTTAGGTCAGAGAAATAGTTTTGGGCATTGGGAAAGTTTATTTCACAACATGGTTCCCAGAATTAAGTGTAGAGTTTAATCTGGAAACCCTAGCTTTTCAACAAGCTCTTCTTCTAGTCTTATCTTCTGTCAGTTACCAATCCAGTTTTAACTCCCTTGAGCTTTTCAGCATTCTGTGACGTATCTTTCCACACATTTTTATTTTGTACATGTAGTTCTTTCCACCTGGAATGCTTTTCTTTTCTTTGGCCTAGAAACCTCTTACTCTATGATTTCATTTATAAAAGTCTAAGAACAGGCAAAAAGGATCCTTGGTAATAAAAGTCAGAAAGCAGTTACCAGGGTGTAAGGAATTGATTAGAAAAGGGCAGATGTGAACTTTCTGGGCCATAGAAATGTTTTATACCTTGTTTTGGGTAGTGGTTACACAAGCCTTAAGATCTGTGCATTTTATTATATGTTAATTATATCTTAAAAACTTAGTTTTCAAGATACAGATTAATATGTTTTTAAAAAAATATTTCCTGTCTACTAGAGGTATATGACAAAAATATTTATAGATAAAATAATGTGATGTCTTGAGGTTAATGAGTGGATTTGGAAGAGAATAAGATTGGCAATGAATTAATTATGATCAAGGCAGAGTGATGGAGTTTGTAGGAGTTGCCTCTTTCACCTCTGTTTAACATTATGTGTAAAAAAATGTAAATAGTCTTTTAATCCATCATGTTTCCACAGTACTTTTTAAATTTTTTAAAAATTTCTTCATTGATTAAGGTATTACATATGTGTCCTCATCCCATTAACTCCCCACCCTCCCCAACTCATGCCCTCACCCCTCTGTTTTCTGTGTCCATTGGTTGGGCTTATATGCATGCATACAAGTTCTTTGGTTGATCTCTCCCCCTTACCCCCATCCTCTCCTACTCCCTCTCCACGGTACTTTTGTTAATGCCAATTATATTGTTTATCTTGCTATTTTATAAATAGTATTGCTATCAAAAAGTAAGTTATTTAAAATCAGAAACTTTATATTCCAGCACATTGCTTGACATAGAGTAAATACTTAATAAACTTTGGATGAAATTAATGTATGAGTAATGGTAATAGCATGTTCATCAAGAGATGATTCATTTGTGCTCTGGATTTTAATGCTTTTGTAAAGAGATCTAAAAAGTGGATGAGGATGGCATTGTAGGGATTCCACCAGGCTTTGCTTGCCCCTACCCACCTCTTGTGGGATTGCCCTTTCTGTGGCTCCTTAGAGTAACTACTTATACTGTAGTTGAGTTACTGAAGGAATTCAGAATTTTAGAGAGCCTCGTACTACTTTAATTCCAGAAAACTTAAACTATTTGGGAAGTAACTATTGATAGAAATGTGTTGCTGACATTATTGCAAAACAAATAAACAAAAGCCCCTAAGTCTCATAAACTAGTAAATATAGTCAGGGCCATGAGCATCTGTCCACAAGGCACCAGTGTTTTCCCACTACCTTGCCACACAACTCAAAATGACTATGCTCACTGTACTGGTAATTTCCTTTATCTATCTCATGGGTTTTCTGGATGCTTTCTAGTCTCACCTTGCCCCTGTCTTGCTCAGCTCTCACACTTCATTCCCTGTCTTTGCTTCTGCTATTTTCTCTGCCTGGAATGCTCTTCTCATTCATTTTCTGATGTTAGCAAAGCAATCCTCTCTTGAACTTTTCCCCACTCATTTATAATCATGTTCGAGGGCTTACTTTGTGTTAAGCAGGCACTGGAGTAGAGGAACTAAGAAAACACAGTCCCCATAGGTGCTCACAAATTAATGAACCTGATTAGGAATTAAATTATGTGGGTTCAAGTTCTAGTCCAGCCAGGTATTAGCTGTGGGAGTTTTGTTTTGATTTTTGTTTATACTTTTTAAAAACTTAAATACTCAAGTAGGTGAACTAAATAAACTTGTTACAAAAAACGTCAAACAATTCCCCAAGGGCTCCTCCTATGCCATTTTAGAGTCCCAAGGCAACCACTTTTAGTTGATTGATTTGCTATATTTCTAATTAACATGCTGACATTGCTAATTCTTGATCTCCCCTCCCCAGTCCCTGGCAACCACTGATTTTTTTTTTTTTTTAACTCTTGCTATAGTTTGCCTTTTTTAGAACTTCATATAGTTGAAGTTATTCAGTATGACTCAGTATATAGCCTTTTCTGATTGGTTTCTCTCAGTAATATGCATTTAAGGTTTTTTGTGTCTTTTTTTATGGCTTGATAGCTCATTTATTTTTAGGGCTGAGTAATATTTCTTTGGATGGATATATCGCAGTTTACCTTTTCACCTACGGAAGGATATTTTGGTTGCTTCCACATTTTAGCAGTTATGAATAAAGTAGCTATAAAGATATGTGTGCAGGTATTGTGTGGGCATAATTTTCAACTTATTTAGATATTTCATGTATTTTTAACTAAGCAATTATTATTTCAATCTTAAAGATTCCCTTTTTATGTTCTAAGCCAGGGCTAGAATCTGTTTTTATACAGAACCCTCAGCTGTTTGACCACACTACTTAGAATCAGACTCTAAATGACTTTAAAGATCTATTCAGTAAGTACAGGTAAGGCTTGGGAAAAGGAGAGTACATTTTGAGTGTAGATAAGAGAATATCTAGGACTTAATTAATGGTAAGAATTGGGAAAAGGAGGGTACATTTTGAGTGTAGATAAGAGAATATCTAGGACTTCTTATGTAGGTAAACCCACAAGCGTCCCAGATACCTTGGCCTTCTATAACTCCAGGACCAGTCCAGATTCCAGAGTTTTTCCTTTCACTACTACACTGCACTTGATAGTTTTTGTATGCCTGTGAATATCTCCTTGAAGAGGAGAGTTATAAAGGAAATTTATAGTTATAGAGAAGGAAAAGTAAGGCAAAAGACTCCTTTACAAAGCAACTTTGGGAGAGAGAAATTAATTTCAAGCCTTAGCACTGCTTTTCTTCATCTTTTAAATTAAGAAGCTGAAATTTGGTTAAAAGGGTCTGTGCAACCCTAGTGTGGTTCTAGAAGTAGGTAGCAATAATGTTGAATTAATTCAGAAAACATTGAATATTTGAATGGGGGGGCAAAAGGAGTTAATATACCTTTTAGAAACTTACTTTACGCAAATATAAGCTCTGTAAGAATCTGTAGATTTGATGCTGACATTGCAAGGAAGGGTGGCTTGAGAAATGATATGTAAGGAAATTAGTTATATGTAATACACTTACTGTTTTGAGGTGAGTGATATTATTGATATGCTATTTAAAATGCTGTCTTCTTTGTTTTCTTGCACATGAATATAAAGGTTTTTAGGTATGTATTTAGGAATTGAGTCCTCTTTTTTCTTATAAGGCCTTAAGATTTTTAAGAAGGAATTCTGCTACAGGAATTGTGAAGTTAAAGATAGAATATTGTTCTGTGCTACAAGCATTATTAATTAGGATCCCAGATAAACTTGAAATTTGTCATCTATAGGATCTGGGTTGAAGGGCTGATTTTCAAACGGTAGTTTTTGTGTGTGTTTATGAAAAAAGATTTTAAGCACTTCAAGCAGTTAAATATGGAAGTTAATATAATAACTAACTCTAAACCACTGTAGATACCTATTTAATAAAGTAGGTCTTCTAATAACATGTTTGTCGGTACTTTATTCATTTTGCTTAGTGTTAATTTAAAAGTAAAGTTTGAAATGACAACACAATCTCTTTAGACTGTTAAAATTATGTAATATAAACTGATCTGATCTATAGTTAACTGAACACCCCCCCCACTCTAAAACTCAGGTTTTGACTTACACTCACCATATAGATATTTATCTCAATACTCCAAATGCTAGTTATAGCCAAGGGAATCAAAGCATCCTCCCATGTCCTGCCTCTTCCCGAATAGATAGTTATTGAGATTGCCTCTGCCCATCCTCCTACTTCCCTCCCTCCTTCCTTCTCCCAATGTGGATTCCATCCCATACTTCTGTATCCAGTCTGTTCTGTAAGCCTGAGACTGATCTTTTAACTAAAGCCTGGGAAAGCTGGGGTATCTTCTGGCCTGCAGCTGCTGGGAGCTAATGCCAGAGTACTGTAAATGTAAGTCAGTCTCAATTTGCAGTAAGATTTTCTCTTGACCTTTTCTACATTTCAAAACTATTCAAACTCATCTTCTCCATCAGTTATAAAGCAGTGATGTTTTACTCTAAGATCTGAGATATTGCTGCATCAAGTCATTAAAAGTCAAGGTCTCCTTCCAAAGAGGTGGTCTTTTCTGGTAGATATATCTCAGAATCTCTGCAGAAGATAAAATGAACAGGAATTTTATCAGTTGAAGATAAAGATGGATTTGAACTCATCAGCAAACATCTTGGCAAACTGTTCTAGGATGCCATCTGCAGATGTTAATTATCTAGTTTGGGTCCTCTAATAGCTCTTAACCTCCTCTTGACTCTACCAAATGCTTTTTATTTTTCTTGTAGATTCTTTTTATTCCTCTTTGGGCAATACAAAGTCACAGGCAACATTGCTGATTCTTTTTCAAACAGTTTAGTGTAAAAATATTAGTCTTTCATTCCTCCTTGTTTTCTAAGAACTTCTCTTCAGTTCTTCCTATTTCCAGGACTGTGTAAAAGAAACAACTCCGTAAGAGTTGATAATACTGAAAAGCAGAGGCAATAATAATCCTGCGAAACATGAGTCCTGAAATCACTCTCTGTTTGGAGAAACTTGAACTCTAGAGGCTGCTTTTCTGCCTCATTATTTCTCTTGTCTGTTACCCAACACAGTTGTTCTAAGACTTTTTGCTCATCAAGCTTCTTTCTCATTCCCATATACTTGAAGATGATTTTTGCTTTCTACCAAAACAGTAGATCTGAGCTCACTCAAATTTTTCCCCTACCCTTAAACCAATATTCATATTTATTTTTATTTCCTTCCTGTTTGCCAAGAAAGATGTGTCTAAGACAGTTCCTTAGATACATCTTGCCCTGAATCCTCACCTCTTCTATCTACTTATGGATTCCATTGTAGTTTCTGTAAAGCAGTTATTTTTTTTTATAGAGATCTAAAGGGAGAATAACAGTATGAACAGTTTAAATCAAGTTGAATTTACTTGTTTCCCTACAACCAGGAAAAAACATCAGTTTCATTTTTCTGAATTAAAAACTCACATGTTTAAATAGTTCATACTGTTTCTCTCCTCATAGCCCCTCTGCAGTGGTCCCGCAGTGTTGCTTCCAGTTTTCATGGATCACTAGTGCAGTAAGCAAGTAGTCACCCTGTGTCCATGTGGTTCTAGGGTTCAGGAGAGTGCTATGGTTTAGTAGGGTTTTTGGATTGCTATTGAAGATCTGGCCATGAATCTCAGAGACCACTGGGAATCTGCTCTCGACCCTGCTCCTTGTTCTCTGTATTTAAATTATCTATGGTAATGGAACTGACTGGCTCATTGTGTTTCTATTGGTGTCTGTAACTGATAATATTTTAACTCTTTTTCACAGAGGGACTTGTCGGGACACAAGAACATTGTGGGTTACATTGATTCTAGTATCAACAATGTGAGTAGTGGTGATGTATGGGAAGTGCTCATTCTGATGGACTTCTGTAGGGGTGAGTATATGAGTCATATCTTCAGCTCTCATTTCACTAGCACTTGAATTGTCAAGGGCATGGTGGTTATTTCAGTTATTACACTGTACCCTAATGTATGTATGTTGTTCTGGTTTTAAAGATGGGAAAACTAAGAGGCTAAAAAATACAGAGTCTGCTGTTACCTCTTGGTAATTCTGATAATGGCAGGGATCAGTGGCAGAAACAGTTCAAAGTGGTGAATAATGCACAATTCCATTTTTTTAGGTTTAGGAAGGGTTGGCGCTTGGATATGAATGAGGATGTATCAGAATGAGAATGAATGTGTTCTTTGTGGTGCTTTAAAACAAATAATGAAGGCACATAATAAAGGCCCAACTCCAGATGGACTACAGAAACAATTCAGCTTCCATACTCCCTCTCTCGTGTGTTCTGTTCTCCACCCACACCACCATCCTTGTTATGGGATGAAAGAATCCTTTTCCTGTAATGGAAATGACCTTCCTCCACTTGCTCAAGAGCTATAATTGCCAGGAAGGCTATATTCAAACTATGCTGCTCTTGACAGTGGAGTTTAGTAGTTTAAAGCATGGAGTTTCAAGCAGTATTTATCTTGGGAAATCCAGACTATCGCATGATTTTATTCAGAGTTGATGGCATTTCATACAACCATTATTTGGAGGTGTGACTCTTTTTGTTTAAGCAGCTGCCACTTACAAGCTTGGGTCACTGTCTCACTGTTATGTAGTCACCCTTATTTCCACTAACATTTTCCTTGCTTTAAGATACTGTCCATAAACTAAGTATGCTGCTTATCCAAAAAATGTGATGTTAACTGATCATTTCAGCTTTTACTATTAACCTGATTTTTTAAAATACTACCAAATTTTTACTTGACAGTTTATTTCCTCCTGCCCAATCCTTTTTGGACAGTAAAACGTTCAGAGATGAGGCAGTAGGAGCATTCAGGGGTCTGGTTAATTTTGTAAATGAAGCCATTAGGCTTTTAGTTCTGGAGAGTATATGTTGGCGTAGCATTTCTACAGATTAGGCGGCAAGTAGTGAAGCCAGGAAGACCAGGCTGTTCCTGAAATACAGGCTATAAAAGCTGTCTTCTTTGCTTCTCCTGAGGTTTATTGTGCAATTGGATTCTTACTAAAAGATACGGCATGTTGAACCTGTGGTCTTGTTTCATACACAGCAGGGACAGTATAACCAGGCAACTAGAGCAGTACCATATCGTCAGCTCTGTTACTAATCTTGAAGCCATAATGAGGGCAGCTCATGTCTGGGGTGCATAATGGAATAAGCAAACTGTTTTTTTATTTTTAATTCTCATCAAAGGATATTTTTTCCCATTGATTTTCAAGAGAAAGTGGGAGAGAGGGAGAGGAGAGGGGGAGAGAGAGAGAAACGTTGATGTGAAAGAGAAACATTGATTGGTTGCCTCCTGCTTGCATCCGGCCAGGGCCCGGGATCCATCTGCCGCTGAGGTCTGTGCCCTTAGCCAGGAATCAAACCTGTGATCCTTTCGTCCATGGCTTATGCCCTAACCACTGAGAAACCAGCCAGGGCAGGAAACTGTTTTTGACACATTGGAGAAAGCACCGGATTGTTAAAAAAGACACAAATTCCAGGTTGTACATCAAGACATCTGGGTTTTAGTCCTGACACAACTAAGTCTGTTGAGCCAAGTATCATGTCTGTCACCTTGATCCAGGTTGCTACTTTGTGGAGAGTCGTTTATTCTCTTGGGTAGGTGATGAGTCTGAATGTTTATAACCTCTCTTTTCCTCTACACTCCTCGCAGGAGGCCAGGTGGTCAACCTGATGAACCAACGCCTGCAAACAGGTTTTACAGAGAACGAAGTGCTCCAGATATTTTGTGATACCTGTGAGGCTGTTGCCCGCCTCCATCAGTGCAAAACTCCTATTATTCACCGTGACCTGAAGGTAACAGACCACCTGTTTGTTTGTTCTTACAGAGTATTTTTTATCTGTCCCGGGGATGGGGTAGACACCAGGGGATATGAGAGAAGTGTGAGGTATGGTTCCAAATTCTGAGCTTTCATTCTTCTTGGGGAAAGAAAATGCAAAGAAAGAAGTTACAACAGTCCAGTACAGATATCAGTTTTATTAAGTAGTTTTCAGAAATTCTTCATAGCCATCAAATCTTCAGCACACATTGTTTTTATTTTTCCTGATAACACTGCCAAATGCACTTTTCCAGGGTCATGAAAAGTTATATCTAATTTAAATAGTTTATAAACAATGATGCTTGGTCTTTGAAGTCTATTTCCTATTTTGCAAAATCTATTAATGTATTACTTTAAAAATTTGTCCTACTAATTACCATCTGCTTGCACCAAGCCTTAGACACTTCGCAATGTTTGTTGAATAGAATTGGCTAGCATTTATGGAGCACCAGCTGAGTGCCATACTCTACTCAACACTTAATGTAGAGAGCAGCACAGAGGTTATATGACTTACCTAAGGTCATATAACTAGGAACAGCACCAGAATTTGAGTACAATTCTTCTGATTCTAAATTGCAGCTTCTTTATTATAGCTATGTTTTGAGAAATGTGCTTCATGGCTAATAACTTACATCAGTATTCCCTAGTGCGCTTGTTAAATGCAGGCTGCTGGGTTCCACACTGAATCTATTGGACTGTAATTTTGGTAGCAGTGTCATAGAGGCCCAGGAATTCATATCTTAATAAGCACCTCATGTTGTTTATATTCGAAAGTATACTCTTTTGTATGTTCAGTATACTAGCATTTATGTTTGGGCTCTTTTTAAAAAATTGAGACATAATTCACATACCATAAAACTCTTTTAAAGTGTACAATTCAAAAAAGAAAGTGTACAATTTAGTTCATTTACAAGGCCATGCAATCGTCCTCACTATCTGATTTCAGAACATTTCATCACTCCAGAAAGAAATCCTGTATCCATTAGCAATCACTCTTCATTTCCTGAGCCTCTAACCCTGTGTAACCACTAATCTATTTTCTATTGCCTATTCTCGACATTTCATGTAAATGGACTCATGCAGTATATGACCTTTTCTGTCTGACTTCTTTCACCTAGAATAATGTTTTCAAGGTTCATCTATGTTGTAGCATGTAGCAGTACTTCTTTCCTTTTCAAAGCAGAATATTTCATGGTATGGATGTACCACATTTTTCTTATTCATTGATCAGTTGAAGGACATTTGAATTGTTTCTACTGAGGCTACTATGACTAAAGCTACAATGAACAACCATGTGCTAGTTTTTATGTAGGTATACATTTTTAGTGCTCTTGGGTGTATACCTAGGTTTGGAATTGCTAGGTCATACAGTAAATATGTTTAACTTTTTGACAAATTGCCAAACTCTTTTCCACAGTGACTGCACTATTTTACATTCCATCAGCAATACACGAGGGTTCTAATTTCTCCTCATCCTCACCAATATTTGTTATTATCCTTTTTTATTTTAGCCATTCATAGTGGGTGTGAAGTGGCATATACATACTATCATTTCTGTAGCTTTCAGGAAGATACAGTACATATATACTTCCAAACCCTTAGATAGCCTTCTCCTTGTACCTCTGCCTACAATCAGCCCTTTTTCTGAATAGAAAAAGAATACATCTCAGTAAGTATTATGAGCATAGCATAGAATGAATACATAATTCTGTACAGATATAATATGGTTCCTACTGTCAAGATGTTTAAAGTAGAGGTGACAGGACATAAATGAAATACTTAGACTTGAACAGAAATAGGTGAAATACAAAACTTTCTAGAACAAAGTGATGAATAGATGAAAATCAAGTGGCTTAATATATGATCAGACAGTGAAATCAGGGAAATGGTGGTTGGAATCTTCTAGAAAAGTGGGACTTTGAAGTACTAGTGGGATATGGGTGGTCACAGAGAGGATGAAGGACATTTCAGGCAGAGAGTGGAGCCTGGGGTCTGCCTAGAGAAGGGAACCACAGGCTTTGAGATTGGAGACGTGCATGGCAGGTTACACACTAAGCTAGAGGCCACACTCTGAGTATGTATTGATATTTTACTGATGAGTAATCCTTAGACCTGTTAGCATATCTTTTGAAATAAATAGTACCAATGCTTTAGGAACTGTCCTTTGTTCCTGCTACCTACCTTGGAGAATAGTTTGTGAGGGGCAAAAAATAGAGGAGAAGCAAGGCTGAGCAGCCCTGGTCTGAGTATGGGAACCCCAGCCTTTCTGGAGCCCCATTTTCTCCTGTGTCAGATGAAATTCACTTTCACATCGGGACTTGGATTTTGTAGCACTCACAGTGTGACTTGTACCGAATTGTAAGTGCTGTGAGAGATGAACATGGCAGCGTCCTTCATGTTGCCAGATGCAAAGAACACTTCTCAGTCCCTGTCTTATTCTCCTCCTGTGGCCTTTGAGTCCTTTGTGTCTGTCTCCTCCCTTGCCCTCTGTGAAATCGTTCTCTACTCGCTCCTCAGGCTGTTGGTTACTCCTATAAACACTTAGCCATGAGCCTCGGTTCCCTCCTCCCTGGAGTGGAGACAATAGTACCAGCTTCGTTAGGGTTGTAAGGTTAATGAGAGCAGGCATGTCACTGTCCAGGCACATCCCTTGCACAGTAAGCCCGGAGAGGGTATGGAGATGAGAGCAAGAAGAGGGGGCCCTCGAGCATCCTTTAGAGAGTGCTATCCCATGTTCGTAAACAAAATCTTCCTTTATTTTGACTTTTTAAACATTTATTGGATTAAATGAGGCCAAAATGATAATTATTTTATACCCATAAATAACCTACCCAGTTTGCAGATTCTCAGCATATTAATGCCCTGTTCACAGTGCTGCTGTGAGGTGGTAGGTAAGTGTCAGTGATGGGAACTTAAGGTACACAGAGCCAGTCAGTGCTTGGGCTCAGGCAGCTAGAGCCCCAGGCTCTTCCTTCAGTGCACTGAACAGCCCATGGGAAGTCTCAGCAGAAGAACATGGAGCCAGCTGGATTAGGAGAGTGAGGCCTCGGCCTGATAGAGAGGCTGCCACACTCGTCCCCTCCTCAGTGTCCCTGGGAGCAGTGTTGGGCTGTGGAGATGTGCTTTAGTCAGCATTGAGGACCATCAGGCTTGCTACCAGGTGGCCAGGAGTGGTCCAGGGAACTTTGTTTCCCTTTCTCCTCTACCTTGGGAATAGGGAACGTAAATAGGGTCCACAGGAGAATTCCCCGATTGTGATTGTTCTGGAGGAGTACTGTTGCTGTTGATTTTAGTCGTTGACTCCTGGTTGTTTTGATTGAAGCTTTCTACAGCTCCCCAAATCTTACACTTGGTGCCATCTAAATGCTTTCATTAGCTTGTTAGATTTTGTTGATTCCTACTAGTATGTGCGTGGTGGGCAGTCGAATTTGCCTGCCACACTGCCAGCTTCCTATGCCGTGAGTTTGCCGTGGCTATGTCTTGTTTGCCCTGGCTGTGTCATTTGTCACATAGCCTGCGCTACTCTGAGCTCTGTCACAGCGGAACCAGCCACTGTAGACCTAGTGGTAGCAGAGCCAAGAAGTTCATTATTCTCCTGCTGCCCAGGGAAGTGCTGGTTGCTGGTGTTTTGGTTGCTTCTCTGCGAGCAGGATTTCCATTTGGTGAAGAGACACCACTGTGAGTAAAAGTCAAAGGGACACAGAAAGAGCACAGGCCAGGACATCTGTGGACCCCCTGGTTGAGTCAGTACCACCCTGTGTAGGGCTCTGCTTGTTCACATGCAAAACTGAGAAAACCACTTGTTCCGCCTGGTCTTTCTGTCACATTACACATAGGAAATACACTGAAATCGGTTCTGGTCCTTAAGCAGCTTATGTTCTAAAAATAACTGAAACAGTTCTGTTTTTTATTGAAGATCCTTCCTCAAATATGTTATTTTAACATTTCAATTATTTCCCTCATTTAAAAATATTTATTTCTCTGAGGAAAGATAGAGGTTATTATTACAAATCATGGAATCATAAGCCTCAGAAGGTCCCCTAAAGCCAACCCTCTCCTTTGACCAGTCAGGTGACCTCTGTCCAGAAAGGTTGTGACCTGCAGTTAATTCAGTGACCAAATCAAAACAGAGGCTGAGGTGTTTTTTACTTTCATTTTGGATTTTGTCTATTTGGCTTTGCTTTACTGTACTATGGTGTTTTTTCTCGGGGCTTAAGAAAGGGGTAACAGGATTAAGACTTAAATGCATCTAGATTAAAAAGTCATGCATGTCTTGTCAGAAAAGAGATTTGGATCTCATGAAGTATAATAGGCTGAAGATTCTTGTCCTATTTTTAGAATCACAGGTTTGAAAACATGCATTCATCTAATCTTCCAGAATTTCCAGTGGTAATAAATCCTGTGACTGAAATGCCTGATTGCCATATTTGTTTGAAATAATGTCAAGATGTAGCCGGGACCGGTTTGGCTCAATGGATAGAGCGTCAGCTTGGGGACTGAAGGGTTCTGGGTTCGATTCGGTCAAGGGCATGTACCTTGGTTGTGGGCATATCCCCAGTAGGGGATGTGCAAGAGGCAGCTGATCGATGACTCTCTCTCATCAATGTTTCTAACTCTCTATCTCTCTCCCTTCCTATCTGTATAAAATCAATAAAATATATTTAAAAAAAAAAAAAAAAAAAGATGTAGAGGTCAGTAGGAGGTGGTTTTCCAGGCATTTTGGCTGAAGCTATAATCAGAGTTTGGGAGTGATGACTTTAGTAACACTTTTAAGCCAAGGGTTGGGAAGTAAGGTCAGTGTATTAAACTCTCAGATAGCTGAATGACTTGAGGATTGTAAGCAATGGTAACCATATTTGAGGAAAGATCTTCAATGCTAGGCTTACATCCTAAAAGGGATATTGCCAAAAACATAGTCTCCCAAGCTTTGCCAAAACCGGTTTGGCTCAGTGGATAGAGTGTCGGCCTGCGGACTGAAAGGTCCCAGGTTCAATTCCGGTCAAGGGCATGTACCTTGGTTGCGGGCACATCCCCATTGGAGGGTGTGCAGGAGGCAACTGATCAATGTTCTCTCTCATTGATGTTTCTAACTCTCTATCTCTCTCCCTTCCTCTCTGTAAAAAATCAATAAAATATATATATTTTAAAAAGTCTCCCAAGCTTTCAGAAGATGAATGTCAATATCCAGTTGGTTCTCTTCCTTTCTTATATCATTTAATCCCTCCTGGCCCTAGTCTATACCTGGCTCTATTCACCTCACCCCTGGACAATTGCACCTCACTGTCTCCTTTCTTTTTCTCCCTCCTCTATCACCATGCCAGCTTTCCTAAAACTTCTTTTCACCTGCTGCTGACGGTTAAAATGTTGAGTGTTTCCCTAATGGCCTTCTTCAGTTGCCCTCTGTCTGCTTCTCTGTTCTTCTCTCCTTCTGCACCCTTCTTTCTCAGTCCTAACTGCCCACATTCCGTAATTGCATAATACACATCAGTGCAGTGGGTGATGGTGTAGTTCCAGCAGTCAGGCAGCCAGAGTCCAGTCCTGCTCTTGCAGTCTTGTGACCTCAGGTATGTTAGAAATGGATCCCACTTCTCATCTAAGTGGGGACAAAAAGGCTTTGTAAGAATTCCATGAAATACTATAGGTAAAATTGCACGGAGCAGTGTCTAGCACATAGTAAGTGCTATTATTTGCTGATACCATTGTTATTATCGTGCCTGCCTCTGTGCCTTTGTTCCTGTTACTAGTTTCACTTTTCTAAGGCCTTCACTCCTCCAAGGCCCAGCCTTATCTCATCTCCCCATTCATAAGAGCGCCAGCCCATAGTGTTCAGTCCCATGTTTCCAGTTTTCTTTGCAGTACCAGTGACCAGCACAGTGCTGTTCCTGCCACAATGGAGGAGTGGTGACCTTTTTTTTTGGGGGGGGGGGGTGACATTCTTGTGTGAACTTATCTGGCCTTTTGGCATCTTTGGAGTTCTGGCATCAGGATCTCTCTAGCTATGTGGTTTTTCATCTGGCCATCTGGTGTTCTCGGGCTCCAGGCTCAGGTCCTTATGCTGTCTCAAGTTTACCTATACCAAAATTAATATGTCTCGATTACAGTAGTGCTCATTGTTTTTGGAGTTGTTATTTTACTGACAAACTCCTTTGATACCAGAATTTTACTAGGTACTAGACTTTGTAAGTCCCATTCTATCCAGAACTGCCCAAAGAATTCATCTATAAAAAGACAAGGATAATACTGCACGTTTTCCCATAGCTCTTTAGTCACTTTGAGAATTAACTAAAATATAGCAAATATTTATTAATTCTAAAAATTCTTGTAGTAAAGAAATTGATGTATGTTTTTACAAGGCCCAAGTGAAATAATTGATATCAGGAAGAACAGAGTACTGATGGATCATAGGGAAGGAGAGATATTTGTCTGAGTGGGGGCCTGAAGAAGGCTTCAAAGAAGAGGCAGCATTTAAACTGGAGTTTGAAAGAGGAATAGGATTTTGGTAGCTGGGTAAAAGTGGGGGAATCAGAGAGAGCATTCAAGACTGATAAAAGAACATGACAAAAGAGACAAATGCTGGCCAGCTGGTGTGGCTCAGTGGTTGAGTGTCAGCGTATAAACCAGGAAGGTCATGGTTTGATTCCTAGTAAGGGCACATGCACAAGTGCGGGCTCCATCCCTGGTATGGGGTGTGTAGGAGGCAACTGATTGATGATTCTCATCATTGATGTTTCTATCTCTCTCTCCCTTTCCCTTCCTCTGTGAAATCAATTAAAAAATATATTTGTGTGTGTGTGTATATTTAAAAGATGCAAAGGTCTGAAAATAAAAGGACTGTTTCTACAGAGGTAAGAAATGAGCCTGGAAATAGAAAACTGAGACTCTTGCTTCCCCCTGTGGAGTTGCCTCTTTTTGCCCTCTCCACTCTCATTTTCCCCTGTTGCTGTGCATCTTGTTTTATTCCACTTGGGACGACCCCTGTTGATATACTTAGAGGGTGCACATTAATGGGATTATCATAGATAAAAATAATATTTATGTTAATGAGATCCAAAATTTCACACACATTACAAATGACATCTTGGAATGGATGACTGGGGAATGTTTTTCAGGTTGAAAATATCCTCTTGCATGACCGAGGCCACTACGTCTTGTGTGACTTTGGAAGCGCCACCAACAAATTCCAGAATCCGCAAGCTGAGGGAGTGAATGCAGTAGAAGATGAGATTAAGAAGTAAGATTTCCCTTCTTTCTTGGAGATCAGCAGCTTTCAGCTTATGTATGAGAAGGTCAGGGTGGGATGGCAAGGATGGTAGTCAGTTTGTTCCTCTTCTTAGATAATTATGCTGGTAGTTGGCTTGTTTGATTTTAAATGGAGAATTTGGAGGGGGTTTATAATTATTGATTAATAGAGTAAAATGAAAACTGATATACTTTAGCAACGGGCCTATGGTAATTGAATATAGATATTTTTATTTATGTCATATTGCCCTTAAAAAGCTGAATAGTACACACATCATAGAAATAAAACATCCCTGATGTCATTAGTCTGTTGGGTACAGTTTTACTGAACCCGAACTTGCTTTGTATTCCTTTCTTCTTATAAGGAGCTCACCTGCAGTAGATGGAGGGCTGAGTAGGGCTATTGAAGTCTCTACAGATATTGAGTCACTGACATTCATGAGGAAAAGCTTCTTTGGATATGTGACTCCAGTAAGAACCTGACCCATTTTTCCTGTTGTCCAGATTTTTACAGGCAACAACACTCACTATTACTACTACTAATAAATCAGCAGTCTAGCATGCCCACTCATATCCTGATCCTTTTTGTCCTTTTCTGCATCACAACCCTGACAATGAAGCCTGGGCCAGGAAAACTTGTGATGCAAAACCCTAATGGACACCTAAACCAAGTACCCTCTGGGCTCTAGAAACTCAAGCAGCACAAGTCACTGTTGTTTCAACCCCAATCCACCCACGAAGATCCATCCATCTCCCACCCCAGCCAGGGCCCATTTTCTGCTGTCCTCCAGCATCCTAGCCAGTATTATATTTCTGTGTCAAGTCACATTAAAAGGGATTACTATTTTTAAAAACATACCAACAAAATATAATATCAAACAACTGATGTATAGGAGGAAATTTTGTTATTAGAGGACCCAAGAAAAATTGCTTTTGGAGTTTATTTAAAGCCACAGTGTCTGGGTCCCCACATGCTCTTGAGCAGGACTGCTGCTAGAGGGCCACGGGCGTGTACCAAGGACAGCCTTTTATTTTATCTGCCCTAATATTTCATTCTCTCTTCTACAGATTGCTCCCAGGGAGCTTATATATGAAGTATTTCTGCTACCCCTGGTCGTTACGTCATTGACATGTTTAACAAAAAATGAATCTTTTGATTGTAGATACACAACGCTATCCTATCGAGCACCAGAAATGGTCAACCTGTACAGTGGCAAAATCATCACTACGAAGGCAGACATTTGGGTAGGTTCAACTAACCTATCCACATCTCAGATATCAGCAGTCTTGACTGTAACCTCCCAAGTTTCATCCAGACTGCCATAGCAAGGGTGGCCACTGTGGCAACTTGTTGTTTACTTATCGCTAGAGGTTATTCTTAGAGGTTAATCTTAACCCGAGGTAACCTACCATTGCTTCTTTAAGCATGTGAAAGAAAACGACTTGAGAGCTCTGTCGTTATTCAGGTGACCTGCCCATTATTTAGATGGTTGTCACATATGTGATACTAATTCTTAAGAACAAAATAACTGAAATACTTGTTCTTTATTAGAGCTCAATTTGGTAATGATAGTAGAAATGATGTAACTCAGCAGTTTAATAGTGGTGTTGGGCTCTAAATTCAAATTGTTAATAGGTTAATAATTGTATATAATTTTTATATCTGCTCGTAAATGTATCACTCAGTAGACCCATTTATGTTATGGTAAATACACCACTAGTAGCAATCTGCTTTTCTTTATTTTTTTTAGGCTCTTGGATGTTTATTGTATAAATTATGCTATTTCACTTTGCCATTTGGGGAGAGTCAAGTGGCAATATGTGATGGAAACTTCACAATTCCTGATAACTCTCGATATTCCCAAGACATGCACTGCTTAATTAGTAAGTACTCAAGTATCTAGTTTTATATTTTTTCGTTAATCTCTAGGAATGAATTGGAGGGTAAAGGGACTGGTAAGTTGGATGCAAAGATAAAGAAGTCAGTTGATAATGGTTGGTTACTCAAATATAATATAAAGGTAACCAGTGAGAGTAGTGGTTTGTTGTTTTTTGCTAGAAATCTAAACTCTGTTTTACACCTAAGCCAGCCACCTGAGCAGAAATCCTAACTGTACTTTGAGCAATATAGTACTGCTCTGTTCTCTTGTAGTCTGTTTTATAGGCTCTGGTACTAAAGGAGTCCAGCTGAGTCATCAAGTAATGAGAAATTCATCTTTGCCAAACTGGAAGCAATTCAAATAATGATTGCAGTGCATTGGCTGGAGTGAATATATAATTAAGATTATAACTCTATGGATCTAGGTTTTTCTCTCATTTAGGTTAATCACTGGATTTTGATTACTATTTAAACTCAGTGCTTTAAATGTTTTTTAAATTCCCCACTTTTTTTTATTATCGGAGTAAGCATATGTACTAATGTTCATTAACCAGTTGGTAGACCAAATAATCTTTGCATAAGCCTCTATACTAAAAAGCTAAAGAAACAGATTATTTTTATTATTTTTTATATCAGTGAACACAAGTAGCATCTAAATTTTAACCATTATGCATTATAAATCCTGAGCAACCCAGTTTGGGTCCTAAGTGGGGAGTGGGGATGCTCTGAAGAAAATAGAAGCCAATGTGGGTGAAGCATCTAACATTTTTTGAAGGCCTACTTTATATAGTTTATACTTCAGTTAATTCTTAAAACTTTATACAACAAATGAATTATCTCCATTTTATGCAAATGAGGAAAGTAGAGGTAATTTATTCAAGTTAACAGTTCTTAAGTGACTATCCATTCCATTATGCCAGTTTTTTCAATCAGCCTCTTCCATTTATTGACAAAAAAGTGAAGGAGGGTATTTAAAGGAATGGGATATGTCATTTAATGGTTATTGGATGATTTTCAGAGGTAAAGTGTTATGTCTGTTCTAGAATTGCAGTTATTTAAATGAGATTGGAAGGAAATATGAGAAAATGTTCCAATTTGATGCTAGAATGATCGGATTTTTTTGTAACTCATTTTTTTCTTTTTAACATTTGTGCAGAAAATTCATATTAGGAAAAACAACTCTATGAATGATATCTTGACTAAACTGATTTACTTCAATTTACAAACTTTTTGATGGTTCTTTTGTCACCCTAAACTGATATGTCTAAAATTAAATTTATTGCCATTTCCCCACCCCCTTTTACTACCAATTCAAGGTTCCCCTCTCTTTTCAATTTCTGTTAATGGTGTCGCCAATAAAGCTTAGGTGACTAAAATGTAAGGTTCTCTTTGGATTTGCCTACCCAGAGAGAGAGAGTATTTCCTAAATGGCATTAGGTTCTTTCTTTGGTGTTTCCCATCATCATTTTGTTCTCTCCATTCTCCATTACTGAACTGAAACAATAGCTCAGTAAAACCTCAGTTCTCGAACATCTCCCATCTAAAAAAATTCTGGTTTTTGACCAAGTTGTTCATGGAAAAAAAAATAAATGTCAGTGTTTTTTGAACAAAACTTCAGTTCTCTACCTGACAACCCATTCGTGCTGATACATCTGCATGACCAAAAGCATCTCTCAGGCCACAAACAAAGGAGAGAATGAGTCAGTTTATTTCTAAACCACTACACCTGCATTGTTAAACATCTCAGGAAATTGTGCTGTGGATAATGTGTGTGTGTGTGTGTGTGTGTGTGTGTGTGTGTGTTGCTTTTGTTGCTGGTAAAATTAGCACAATTTTAAAACATAAAGAGGCCATCCCAATGCTGATGTTGCTAAAGATGTGAAATTGCTCACAAAACAAAGATCACAAACAGTTGAAGAGATAGAAAAACTTGTTGATTTGGATAAGGAAAAAACAGTTAGCTGGTGACTGCATTCAGTGATAGCATTTCTGAGGCAATGAGATGAGAAAAAGCAAAGAGGCTGCACCTGTGAAATGAGTGCTGAAAGTGATTCATTTAAGGCTGGTAGGGGTGGTTCAATAAATGTAAGGAAAGAAATGTTTGTTTAAAGATTAAACAGTACATTAGACATGTACTATATATAAAAAAGGTTAAGAAAGGGAATCATTTGTGGGTCTGGAACAGATTAATTCAATTTACATTATTTCTAATGGGAAAAATGATTCAGTTTTCTATCACATCGCTTCTTGAACAACCTTGGGGAGTGAATTAACTTTGAGAACCGAGATCCTATTCTATGTACAGTACAAGCTCTGTCAGCTTATGCCTTTAGTAGTGGATTGCCCATAGCCTCCCCCTCTTTCTTCAATCAAGCATACCTTCACCACAAGATTAATCATGTAAAATACCACCTTATCATGTGCTTGTTCAGTAACTTAATGGCCACAGTAGGGCTCATACTCTTAGTTTGGCATTTAAGATCCTTCATACTCTGGTCCCATCCCACCCACCAGCCTTATTTGCCTGTACTTTCTGACAAGAAAATCTATGCCCTGGCCTTCTGGCTCCTCTATTTCCTTGTAGCAAGGCATTTTTTACTTTCTCCAAGTTCATCTTTGCTCACTTTTCTCTCATTTGGAATGTCTTTTTCTGTGCTTTACCCCGACTAACTAAATTCTTCCCTGGTTTCAAGGACCAGCTCAAGTCCTGCCTCTTCTGCAAGCCCTTCACAAGACAGCAGCCTGATCAACTTTTTCTGAACTTAGTGTCTAAACCATTCATTTGCTTTCTTAAACAATATATGGCCTTGCATTATTTGTATGTACTGTATATGTGAGTGTTTGTGTGTCTTAAAGATTTTTTTCCACTGTGGATCTTTCCAGTTTCTGAAAGGGCAGCTAGGACCAGATAAGTGATCTACAGATCATGGTAAAAGTAGGGAAGTATTTGTAATTTTTGGATTTCTTTGTCTTGAAACTAGCTTAGATCTCCAACAAAAAATAATAAGTTATAAAATTTAAGTTTTGGTTATAGTTATCAAGATAGTCACTTGTTTAGCAAGATAATCACTTGTTTAGCAAGATCATCTGAACTAAGGAGGCCAGAAGAAAGACCAAGTAACTTCCTAGGTCCCAGAATATGAAGGTAGCAACTTCCATATTAAGGGTTTGAGTCCCTATTGTGCAGAACGCAGAGTGTGAACTTCAAGTATCTTTGTTATAATTTTAAAACTTTGTTGTTTTCTTGTAGATATTTAACATTTTAGGAAAGTGCGAACTTCCCTTTCTGAGAAGGGAGGAAAAGGACAAATTGGACTTTTATGAGGAAAAAAGATTGCTTCCTAGCTAACGTAATAACTGTTAGGATATTATTAAATGAGATAACATTTGTTTTTCTTAGGGTATATGTTGGAACCAGACCCTGACAAAAGGCCGGATATTTACCAGGTCTCCTACTTCTCATTCAAACTACTCAAGAAAGAATGCCCGATTCCAAATGTTCAGGTATGTGAAAGGTGCTTTTTGAGGGAAGCAAACATTATTAATTGTCATCTAGAATATTTGGGGTTAATCTGCTGTTTAATGAATATAGATGTCCCTTGCTTTATCCAGTAGGGCTCATTCAAGCAAGTTGCTAAGAAGCAATTGCTATAAGACAGAATCCATTTATCCCATAGAATTTAATTATAAAACTGAGGTAATTACACTGGGGAAAAACAAAAAACCCTAGGGATCGAGTTGAACACTTTGGGTGAAGATTGACCAAACTATGGTCTTGCTGATTTTCACAGTTCACTAAGAGCTTATTACATTTACCTAGACATGGTTAGGCAGCTGCTTTCCTGAAACGAGGCCTGGACATGCTGCCACACCAATTGGAACTGAAGCCCTTTGTCCCTTTTCTCCTTCACTGAAGCAGAACTTTTTTGACTTTGCTCCTGTTGTTGGCCACCTGTGGTTCACACTCTTTCCTCTACCCTCTCCCATCAGAATGTTTTCTACACTTTTTAAAAATATATATATTTTATTGATTTTTTACAGAGAGGACAAGAGAGGGATAGAGAGTTAGAAACATCGATGAGAAAGAAACATTGATCACCTGCCTCTTGCACACCCCCTACTGGGGATGTGCCTGCAACCAAGGTACATGCCCTTGACTGGAATTGAACCCGGGACCTTTCAGTCCGCAGGCCGACGCTCTATCCACTGAGCCAAACCGGTCTCAACTGTTTTCTACACTTTTAATCCTAAACTCTGCATTCTCAGTATCAGAGTATAGTTCTTGAAAACACCCTTTTTATTACAGTTTTGGCATATTTATCTGGTCATAGTACGATTCAACTTTATTGAATATTGTACTAATGGATGTCGTCTCAAGTTCTGATCTGAAATTTTCTTGCCTGCTTCTCCAGTAATGAACTTCTAATGTCATTTTGGGAGCTGATAAATAACATTCCACTTTCACTCTCACTTTTGGATCAGATGTGGCAGTCATTCAGATGGAACTCAGAACATTGGCTTTATCACTAATAAGATTGAGTCTGAGAACATAGCTTGACCAGTTCCCTAACATAAGAGCCTCATGACTGAGCAGTGAGCACCTGATTCCTGAGAGACAGGCTCTTCTCTAAAGGAGGGAGAGGATAGGGAGCCAAACAAGCTCACCTTTTTCTCCTCGTCATACCAGTAAAATAAGTTACACCTTCTCCCGTGGGAAAGGAACACTTAGGGGTGAAAGAGAAGCTAGGAGACATTTTCTGCAAAAATTCCCACCATCTAAAAATGTGAAGGAAATGAGACATCCTTTTAAAAGCCAGTTTCATTATTAGTATTTCCTTTGTCATGTTTCCCAAAATAAACGGGATACTGTACAGTAATCTAACATGACCGTGTTTTCTTTCACTATCCCATTTTCCCATTCATAAAGTTAAATACTATGAAATATAATTGGAAGCATTCAACCAGTTTTTAATACGTTAAGGGCCATGTCAGTCACCAGTGACTGACACTGCACTTTCCGTCCGGAAGACCAAACAGGCTGGGCGCTTAACGTGTATAAGTCAGCTTCACAAGTCCCAAGTCATTTGCTGTTTGCTCAGCAGTGGTAAACAGTGGTCTTGTGGTTAGGGACAGCTAGTGCTCCCTGGAGAGATGGTGTTGGATGGATGGTGCAGAATCCAAGCTCGAGGAGTTCAGCGTGGCTTGTGGACTGAATAGTGCCTCATGTGCCAGAAAGAGGTGCTGGCTCAGCAACTAGACACACTGTGGCTGTGGTTTTCTCCAAGCATTCTAGCTAGAAGGTTGGGCAAACTAGTCAGCTCTGACTTCTCTAATATCTAGCTGAGAACTTAAATGGTAATAAAGCCCAGTGGCGTGTCTCAGTGATTGAGCATCAATCAGGAAGTCACAGTTTGATTCCCAGTCAGGGCACATACCCGGATTACGGGCTGAATCCCCAGTGTGGGGCATGCAGGATGCAGCCAACCAATGATTCTCTCTCATTATTGATGTTTCTATATCTCCCTTTCTCTTCCTCTCTGAAATCAATAAAAATATATATTTTTTTAAATTTTAAAGTAATATTGGTTATAGACATCTCTTTTACTCCTATCATAACCTCACTTCTAAGCTGTGCTTTAGGGAGAGAAGGATACTGACATCAAACCCCAGTGACCTTAGCTACACAAAAGGCTGAGAATGGCCCGGCCGGCCTGGCTTAGTGGTTGAACATCCAACCTAGGAACCAAGAGATGGTGGGTTCAATTCCTGGTCAGGGCACATGCCTGGGTTACAGGCTCAATCCCCAGTAGGTATATATGCTGAAGGCAGCTGATTGATGACGGGTCTCTCTCTTAACGACGTTTCTCTCTCTATCCCTCTCCCTCTCTTTCTAAAACCAATAAAAACATTAAAAAATAAAAAATAAAAAAAAAAAAGGCTGAGAATGTTCTTCTTGGAGGTTGCTCTGTCCTCTTCTCTGATACTTTGACTCCCTGACTGGGGCTGAGTCTAGTGGGATATGCTTTTGGTAAACTTCCCTTCTCTCTACCAGAGATCAGGGTCTAGAAGCCACTCTGGAAAAATCCAATACATATTTCTATCAGCCTAATCATGGTGGTCATTCTTCTACAAAGAAATATATGATGTTCTTTTTAAAAATTTTTTCCCAATTGTATAGAACTCTCCCATTCCTACAAAGCTTCCTGAGCCAGTGAAAGCCAGCGAGGCAGCTGCTAAGAAGACCCAGCCAAAGGCCAGGTAAGCAATGCCTAGGTGAGCACCTATTGTGCTCCATTGCCTCAGTAGCAGAGGAAGGAGGGTGCCTTGTATTTCTTTATTCTTCTACTGCCATGGCCAAGAGGCTGCCCAACTCAAGAAAGCAAGCTCTATCTCCTGTAAGCAGAAGCTATCCTTTGGGAGTGCAAGAAGGAATGTAATGAAATACAATGATCTACATTTGAAAGAGAATGAAAAACTCCACAGCTGTTTCCCTTGCTTGGAATTAGGCACAGGAACATTCAGAGATGAGGCAACAGTAGACTTTAAATATTACTAATACAGGAGTGTCCTAAACAGATGTCCTGGCCTTTGTTTAGCCTCCTTCAGCACCCTAATCCTCTACCTTCCTTTCCTTTTTACTCATTAAGCCCCTGGCCACATTAGGCAAGTACAGGTCAAAGCACTGAGTCCATGAAACTGCCAAAGAAACTGTAGATCTTACTTAGTCACATTCTATGAAACCTAGGGTCTTCCAAGACACAGATGGTAAGAGAGGACTAAAGAAGCTAGTATTTTATTTGGGGAAACGTCTGAGAGGAAATAGGGAGCCAGGGAAGGCTAGGAGAGCCATCAGAAGGCAATGTAAGTCTGATCTAGAGAGAAGGAGGGGAAAGTTGGGTGGAAGTGACCTAAAAATTGCCACACAATTTAAGGAAGGTTCTCGAAAGGGGAATCCTCGAGTCAAAGTCAGCTACCAGAGGAGACTCCGATGTCCCAGGACCTGGTCTGCCTTAATATCCCTGTGGCTGGGATAGTATGACTGGGCAGCCTATGGGAAGCATGGCCTCAGGGCAAACACTACAGTGTTTCAGAGGATTTCAGAGCACAGCAGCTGGGGTGCTTGGTCTTTCATACCCCTTGTATATGAAGGTGTGCAGGTCACATCCTCCTGACTGCTCTACCTTCCCAATGGCAAATTCTAAGGGTAGTCCCAGAGATGTTTATACCCCTCTTTTTTTCTACCACACTCCCATGGCAAGGAAACCTTAGCAGCAAATTATCAGCAAAATACCTTAGATGGGAATATGTGAATTTTTATAGAACAGAAAAATAACTTCTACATGTTGAAAAATTCTTAAATATTTATAGAATGCCTGCAGATGTGACTGTAAAGTAATGAGACTTTGTTTTTTTTTTTTTTTTTTTTTTTTTTTTTTTTTTTTTTACAAATTTAGCAAACGATATTCATATTGTTACTTTGCAGTCTGTTTATTTCTTGCTTAAGTCTGCCATGCTCACCTCTGGGAATTGCTTCTGGGACTAATTTAATAGTTTAGTATTTGGGTTTATGTACTAGATCCAAACATGGTATGAACTGAGCTAAGCAATGATCTCTTCCAACAACGATTAACATTTGAGTGGTTCTCTGTTGTGAAGATGGATAAAATAGTACCTATGTCATAAGGCAGATGTGAACATCAAATGCATAAATGGCTGTGCAGCTGTTTTATAAACTGTAGAGTGCCCAAAATGTTAGTTTGTATGGACCTCAATAATGCTGTGAGAATACACAGAACTGACAGCCAAGAGATTTGGATCTAAGTCATCCTATCTATAATTTACAATAATTTCATTTGCATTTTTGTATTTACTCCCCAATCCTAACAGGTGCGTTTTTCTTTCTAACTCTTTTTAAAGTGGCCACTATTCATTGAGGCATCTTATATGCCAAATACCTTACTAGGTACTTTACACAAATAAGATGGCTTTTCCCACCCCCCTTTAAAACAAACTTATGAGGTTTTTGTTGTTATCACTTTATAGATGAGGAAACAGACTCAGAATTGTAAGTTGCCCCAGGCAGTTAATCACTATGGGGTTAGTAAAGAACCAGACCTCCAGCATCCACACTCTTTATAATCTGTACCTTAAGTGATTTGTCCAAGATCACATAGAAAAGACAACTCAGAGTCAAGTCTCCTGGTTTCTCAGTCTGCATTTTTTCGCAGCATTTTGAGATCCATACAAACTGATAGTTTAACACTCTGCATTTTATAAAAGGTTTCACAATCATTGTTACATTTGATATTCACATCCACCTCATGATATAGGTATTGTTTCCTCCATTTTACATAAAAGGGACCCAAAGCTAAAAGAGGTTAAATGATATGCCCATTGTTATGCAGTTGGTAGGTAAGGAACTAGTGCTCAAGTATAATTTTATTTGATTCTAAATCCCAGGGTCTCTAAGATATTATTACGTTTAGGAGAAGTCCAGTGTGGGAGTTTTTAACATTTGTTTTTCTCCTAAAGTCTGTTTAAGTTCTGACCCTTGGCTTTATCTTTCTTACACCTTTCTCAACATCTGTCCCATTTCCCTTTCCCTGCCCCAGGTTATAGCCTCCCCAAATGTGATCGCTTTTATATTGTCAGTTCTCTTCCCACCACAAGAGCTTCTTTCTAGCACAGTGATTTTCAGCCATTGTACTGCAGAAATTTTAAAAACATGCAATACCTGACTATATAAGATTTTATTACCTTTAGGAGAAGTCTCTAAGATATTATTACCTTTAGGAGAAGTCCACTGACCTCTTTTGCCTTAGATTGTCAAGTAAAAAAAAAATGACAATAGCCAACACAACAACAGCCATCTGGTATGAATGAATCAAAATTAATTTTTAGTCAGATCAGCCAAAAACATAATATATTTCTAGGTGTGCTACAGAATTTTAATAATTGGTTTACATGTGCCATGGATGAAAAAAGGTTGAAAAATCACTGCTCTAGCAGGATACTAGTGAAAAGCCATAGAGGTATGTCACAGGGAAGGACATGAGGCCAGTTGCTTTGCTTCCTGTTTTGCATTTCATGGAGGCTGTGCCAGGCATATTTTGGAAATATCCACAAAACTCGTTTATTTTGGCTTAACTGCAGTCAACTATACTCCTTAAAGTACATTTTCAAAGGACAACCACTCTGATTTGAGTTGGCCTGCTACCTGGACTGCTCTAATGAATGGAAGTCACCATCACAATAAGAAAGCAGACCATGCAACAGTCCTCCCCATATTAATTTGGGTTAGATTTGGCTCTGATTTACAGAAACTCCAAAATTACAGTGGCTTATGTAAGATAGTGTTTGTTTTTTTTCTTGAAGTAAATAGAGTCTGGAGTAAGTAGTCCAGGGCTGATAGTGTAGTTCTGCTCCACCAAGTTCTCAGGTTCCCAGGCTTCTTCATCCTTACCACTCTACCATCCCTCAGGCTGTGGCCATGATCTCATGGACCAATATGGCAGCATCCCTGTTCCAAGCAGCAGGATCAAGGAATGACCAAAGAAGAAGAGAGACAAAGGGCATGTACCAGTAATTTCTTAAGGTTTCTAGCAACTGCCACATAATAATCTGTGTATATCACAGGTAAGGCCAGAACTTAGACATATGGCCACACCTGATTATAAGAGAGACTGTGCAATTCGCTTTTTACTATAGGTGGCCGAGATAAATATTATATTACCATGGGAAAAAATAAATACGTGTATTGGAGGAAGTGGAGTTCCTGTCACACTCCCCAAATACTTCAACTTGAATTATTTGCATATTTCTTTTTAATTTCCTTATTGGATTAATTTATTTGCATACTTTTTACAATAGAGAGACCATTTTGACAGCTAGTTCTAACCAAGTTTGAGTTCCCTCTACATCTGAAAACCACCTGCTTCAAACCCCTCTTTGCATCATCATCCAAAGTGTATTCTGGGAAATTCCAGGAAGTGTTAGGTAAAAGGGCCACAAGGTCAAATAGATTTGAGAAACACTGCATTCTATTCAGTGCTTTCTTTGAGGTTCTCTATACACATGAAAGGTTTTGCTGAAATATTAAAACATTTTCCCATGAAACCTTTATTTATAGCATCCAGTAACGCAGAATGCCTGCTGGGAAATGTTGATTAAGCAGATCTAGAAGGTTTGGATGAGTGTGGAGAACAAAGCTAATACATCATGTACTCTGCCCCTCCTCTATTTTCTCATACATTAATAAGAATTTTTGTTTTTTCTTTTCCTCTTCTAGACTGACAGATCCCATTCCCACCACAGAGACTTCCATTGCACCCCGCCAGAGGCCTAAAGCTGGGCAGACTCAGCCAAACCCAGGAATCCTTCCCATCCAGCCAGCCCTGACACCTCGAAAGAGGGCCACAGTTCAGCCCCCACCTCAGGCTGCAGGTCAGTTCCTAGGGGCTTTGAAACTTGGTACTTCTTTGTTATCCTGGATAATGAGAAGTTTTGGAAAGCCTGATTTTGCTTCAGGAATGGAATACAGAGCCACATAAAGAATAATAGTTTTCTGCCCTGGCCAGGTGGCTCAGTTGGTTGGAGCGCCGGTCTATACACCAAAAGGTTGCTGGTTCGATTCCTGTTCAGGGCACATACTTAGGTTGAGGACTTGAGCCCTGGTCTGGGCTCATACAGAAGGTAACCTATCGTTCTCTCCCTTCTTCCTTCCCTCCCTCTCCCTCTCCCTCTCTGTTCTTTTCTCTCTAAAAATCAATTTAAAAAGATATCCTCAGGTGAGGATTAAGAAAAGAAGAATGGTTTTCCTTAAGGACCAAGAGCTGAGCTGCCATTGAAATTATATGAGGCTGGTAAAAGGGGAAGCGGTCATTGAATTCTGCAGGGGATCACCAGGACCACCAACGCCTGTTGTCTCTACTTTTTCTAGTCTTGGCCCTAATTTTGTGGCTTGGTCCATTCATCCCTACTCACCTCTTTATTTTGTAAACTTTTCTTTGCCTCTAAAGACCATGACACACATCTTTTAGATCTTGCTTCTTTAATTCTGTCTCTCTCTTTTTAAAAAAATATATTTTTTATTGATTTTGTACAGAGAGGAAGGGAGAAAGATAGAGAGTTAGAAACATCGATGAGAGAGAGTCATCGATCAGCTGACTCTTGCACACCCCCCTACTGGGGATATGCCCGCAACCAAGGTACATGCCCTGGACCGGAATCCAACCCGGGACCTTTCAGTCCCCAAGCCAACTCTCTATCCATTGAGCCAAACTGGTCTTGGCTAATTCTGTCTCTTGAAGTATCTGTCACTACTCTATGCTTTGGTATTTTCTTTCTGGTGAGGTGACTAAGTTTGTTTCATAAAGAGGATTGATCCAAATTATCAAGTAACTGAATTCAGCCATCACTTCCCTTACCAGGAAGCTGTTTTTGGTGAATTTGGTAGCCATTTACTTACAAGGCAGCCAGCCTATAATTGTGCAACCTACATATAAAACATCAAAGAATGCTTTTATTCTGAAGAATACCAACAAGTACAAAGATTGTATTTATATACAGTAGCATCAAAGGCTAATTGAATTTGTAGATAATCAAGATGCTGGCTAAAGGAGTAATTAATTAAATGGAATGGTGAATAAAGGATAGCTTTTTGAAGGAGGCAAATATAGAATTGTTTGTTGATCATTGTTTTGAAAAATATGAAGTGCAGCACAGCTGGCATAGCTCAGTGGTTGAACGTCGACCTATTAACCAGGAGGTCATGGTTCAATTCCTGGTCAGGGTATATGCCCGGGTTGTGAGCTCTATCCCCAGTGTGGGGCATGAAGTAGGCAGCCAATCAATGATTCTCTTTCATCATTGCTATTTCCATCTCTTCCTTTCCCTTCCTTTCTGAAATCAATAAAAATATACTTTTTAAAAAGTGCATAGATTAGCAAGAAGGAAGGACATTCCCGGTGCAAAGACAGTAAGGAGCACATGGATTTGGGGGTTATCTGTCCACTTATCACCCCCTCCTTCTTATTTTGGCAAGAAGGGAAGTTGTTTTGGGAATAGTGTTGAGCTCTTACATGGAATTTATTCTCATTGCAGGACCCAGCAATCAGCCTGGTCTTTTAGCCAATGTTCCCCAATCAAAAACTCAGCCTCCAGCCAGCCAGCCTCTACCACAATCCCAGCCCAAACAGCCACAGGCTCCACCCACCCCACAACAGCCGCCTTCCACTCCTGCCCAGGGTCTGCCCACTCAGGCCCAGGCCACACCCCAGCACCAGCAGCAACTCCTCCTCAAGCAGCAACAGCAGCAGCAGCAGCCACCTCCGCCACCACCATCACAGCAGCCAGCAGGCACATTTTACCAGCAGCAGCAGCAGCCACAGGCACAGGCTCAACAGGTAAGGTGGTCAGAGTGTAACCTTTGCATTAAATATCCCAGTCATCACTGGGTCTCTGTCCTGTAGAATTTTCCACATGCTGGATTTGGCTGATGGCATCCCTGTGGTGATGTTTAATATGTTTCTCCATCCCCTGTGTAAACTGGTAATTTCCTGAGGCTTGTTCAATATTCCATTCAGTTTGATTGTTCTTTGTTTTTCTGGTTATATCACCCAGGGGCATATAATGTCTGGTTGTCCTCTCTTTTAATAATATTAAGATCAATAAGTGGGTTTGGTGTTGTCCATTTGATCCATGATGTTCCCCATCAGCTTAGTAGTCTTTGCTAATTATTTCCTAAGTCTATTAATTTATTAGGGATGACAAAATGATAATATTCTAGCATTTCCTCTTCATTTAAGGGCTGGAATTTATAAAGAATTTTTTTCACCAACTATTTTATTACTCTAAGATATTATTTGTGCAGAAAAGGCAGAAAAATTTATGGTTCTTTTTCTGTTTTTACCAGTTTCAGAATGAGTTTGTTCTTAGTGTCATCCAAAGGTGAATAATGAGGTTTTTGTTTTAGTATCATGATGAACTTATGGATCTTAGTATATTTGATATGTGTCCATTAATGTAGTTTTTTAAAATTTTGTTTATTTTGATGCTCAAAGCATCCCAACTTTGTCCAGTGAAAGTCTTCAAATTGGCTCCTAGATTCTTTGGCTGGAACTCCAGTAGTCTTTATGGTTTCCTTGCTATTCGTTGTAACAAGTTATTCCTAGCTCATTTTACACTTAACCTGAAATCAGCCATTTCTCTAAGGAGCTTCATTTCCTTTTCATGGAAATGGTCTTTAGAAACCACATTTTTGGTGGTAGGGATACTCTTTGCTAATGGGTTATTGTTTTTAGACCTTTTCAGTGGACAGTAGTTAGGAAAAAAAATTTGTTTTCTTAATAGGATATATACCATGAATTCAAATTTATATTCCTAATTCAGATGTGTAATTACAGGATTTTTGTTTAACTTCTTAGATTTTATATTTGTATCATACTAGAGGCCCAGTGCATGGATTTGTGCACATTGAAAGGAAATTAATTAGAAGAAATATTTTAGAGGCTGTGGAGGGACTTCAGGAAGTTGGCTCCAGGGTGAATCCAGCCAGTCTCACATGACCCAAACAGCATGACCCAAACAGCAAGCTAACCTACAGGTCCAAGCATCTGCCCCCTGGTGGTCAGTGCGCTGTCACAATGACTGGTTGAACGGTTGAAGGGACAGTTAGCATATTAGGCTTTTATATAAATAGATAGATGGATAGGTAGGTAGATTTTTCTAATCAAAGTCTTGATTTCTAATAACATTAACATATTACTTATTTTCTTTATAGTTTCAAGATAACAATACCAATAGGATTACTGAAAATAGTTTAAGATTTTTTTTGCCCTCTTTACCCTTAGAATGTTTAACATATTATTTTCTGGGGAGTTTGGCTATGAATTTGACACATGGGTTTCTTTGCTTTATTTTGCTTTTGCTTTTTAGTTATTGATTTTTAAATTTTGTTTTGTGAACATGTAAAATATTTACATAGTTTCAAAGTTAAATATGCAAAATTCTACCTCCTCTATCCCATATAAGAGGTAATCTTCATTCCTATTTACAATTAGAGAGCTGGATATATAGGATAGTTTATTCAATCAGTCCTCTGTTGATAAACATTTGGTTGTTTCCAGCATTTTACGGTTATAAATAGGCAGCTATTTACTGACATCTGCTTCTTTGCTAACCCTTTAACTTTACCTTATTAGGCAAACAGTATGCATAGTTAGCTCTATAATGAAGTAAAACTATTTGGGCCCTAACTGGTTTGGCTCAGTGGATAAAGCATCGGCCTGCGGACTGAAGGGTTCCAGGTTCAATTCCGATTAAGGGCATGTATCTTGATTGCGGGCACATCCCCAGTGGAGAGTGTGCAGGAGGCAGCTGATTGATGTTTCTCTCTCATCGATGTTTCTAACTCTCTATCTCTCTCCCTTTCTCTCTGTAAAAAATCAATAAAATATATTTTTAAAATATTTGGTATGTTAAAAGACAAGATCTTGGAGTAGGCCCTATCTTGGAGTAGGCCCTTGTTTGAGTTCTATTTGTGTGCCTTAGTGGGTAGGAGAAAGACAGAAAAGAAGTTTCTCTATTTTTAGGATGCTTTATAAGAGACTATATCTTGACACAATTCATTACCAATATATAATAAAATGTCATTAAGTGTAATCTATTTTGAATGTTTAAAGTTGGAGAGTTAGTAAAGATAAAGCTCGTGGGAAATAACTTTCAGAAAGAGATGACTTTAATAGTTGGGTTAACATTTAGGTTTTTGGTGTGTTATGTTTCCGTACCTTAGGCTTTTTTCAACTCCTCTGATTTTCCTTCTGGTTTTCTCTTTCCTTCTTGTTGTAGAATTTTCAGTCAGTCGATTACCTGTAGCTCTGGGCAATGTCCACTCTACATTTTAGTTGTATTCCATTGAAATTGTTGTGTACTGCTGCGGTTAGATGTCTACCCGAGCAGCCATCTTGGATCCTCTCTGGTGTGTTATGTTTGTTTTGTTTTGTTTTGTTTTGTTTTGTTTTCAGTGTCATCATTGCTTCATCCTGTTCATCTAGGGAAGAATTTTAATCTTGGCTACTTCCAGATCCCTTTATGAGGAGAATTACTTCTGTGATTGGGAGATCATTTATTAGCTTCTGTTACACTCCAGGTTATGGAATCACAGATGTGTAGTGAGATGGACACCCTCAGGTGTGGCATAGAAGCCCACATAGGAGCTGGGCTGCGGTACAGGAGGCAGCATAGTGTAGTGGAGGGAGCCTGGCAGTGTAAGGTGCTGCTTTGTTTCTTTTAATGTCTTCAGGTTCTCCTCAGGAGTTTCAAGCCAAGTCACAAGACTTCTGCCTTCCTTTGCCTTTGGCTTCATCACTGGTCTTAGTTGTTATTGTGACAGGTTTTTATTCACCTTCTCATTTCTTGCTCCTTTCTCCTGTTTAGTTTCAGGCAGTACACCCAGCAACCCAGCAACCAGCAATTTCCCAGTTCCCTGTAGTGTCCCAAGGAAGCTCTCAACAGCAGCTGATACAGAACTTTTACCAGCAGCAGCAGCAGCAACAGCAGCTGGCCACAAACCTGCATCAGCAACAGCTGCTGACTCAGCAGGCCGCTGTGCAGCAAAAGCCTGCTGTTGCCGCAGTACAGCAGCCCCAGGCTCAGCCAGCCGCAGCCCCACAGCAGTCCCCTGCCCAGGAGCCAACGGTAAGAATCAGCCAGGGCTTAGAGAGCAAAAGAAGAGGGAAATGCAGTGAGGGCTTGGGAAACAGGTTGTAGCAGCTGGTGTGGTGGCCTCTGGCCTAGAACTAGGCTGACTCCCCACCTTGTGGTTAAAATATTTTATCTTTTCTTGATATATTCAAGAACAGGATGAGGTATTCGGTAAATGATAGAGGTTTTTTAAAAAATAACTCTAGGCTACTGGTGAAGATGAATGTTTAATTTATTACTTGGAAATTAGGCTGGCAGAAAGAGCTGTTCATTGTCTCTTGTGTTGAGCAGCCAAGGACCTAGTGGGATTAGAATTAGTTCCTTTCCCTTCTTCAAGGGGCATTTTGGCAGTTGTGGCCTTTTCTGTCTTTGGAGGTTCATATGAACCTCCACATTTACCCTGAGTCCTGACAGTGTTGTGTTTATTCTTAGTCTTGGACGACAATACTGGCTACCTCAATCGAGTGTACCATACAGAATCCTTCAAGAGGGTCTGCTTGCCTGAGCCCATTTGCCATGGCCTAATTCCTTTGGACACCAGACTAAGTATTGTTCAAGCCCAATTGTCAGTATAGAAATTGAGCATGTCTACTTTTAGATGATGGCTGAATATAGCATCAGAATCACTACATCCTCTCCTGATAGACCTTTATTGTGTCAACATCCTCAAACACATTGTGTTTTGGCCTTTAATAAGTGCTCTTAATTTTGTACTCACAGTTTTCTGAGTGATAGTGAAAGATAATTTTATAGTGATAGAAAAAGACATTTTACATACCCAGCCAATAGAATATAACAGCTACTGCCTTATTCCCAGGGAAGTCTAACTACTAGACGAACAATAGAAAACCATCTTTTTGAGGACTGAGTTCTCTTAGTTTTGTGGCCCATCTTAAACCAGAAAACCTACATTCCTTCCAAGGAAGCAATGCCGTAAATAGATTGTCTTCTTTAAGTCTCAGCTAAGGGTGTGTTCAGTGTCTTTACACCTTGGTTTCTGAAACTTTAGTCTTCCCACAGGAGTGAAGTAGATAGCTACTCTCTATTTTAATAAGAGATGAAGTTCCTTTTGTTAAATGAAAAGGGGCTTTTAAAAAATTACTATATGATGTAGCTAATTGAGATTTTTTTCTTTCTTTTTTAAAATATATATATATTTAAAATATATATATATATTTCAGAGAGGAAGTGAGAGAGATAGAAACATCAATGATGAGAGACAATCATGGATTGACTGCCTCCTGCACACCCCCTATTGGGATTGGGGATCAAACCCGCAACCCAGGCATGTGCCCTTGGCTGGAATTGAACCTGGGACCCTTTAGTCTGCAGGCCAATGCTCTATCCACTGAGTCAAACTGGCTAGGGCGCTAACTGAGATTGTAATCATCTAGTCCAGACCCCTCACTTAATGGAATTAGAAACTGAGGCCCAGCCTAGAAAGGTATTACCCAAGACACACAGACTGATAGCAGCAGAGCTGGGACCAGAACAGAGAGTCCTGATCTGTGTTCAGGGTAATAATAACAGATGCTTACCTGGGCGGATAAGATGATTAAACTTCCTACAGACATTTATTAGGAGGTTCTCTCTGCTTTCACTGGACAAAAGTATCTACTCTCTTGGGAATGAATTGTGAAACTTCTCTATGTCCTTGGATTAAAAAAAAAAAAAAAGTTTTTCAGTGATAGTTGGTTAAGGGGGTGGAAAGGGAACAGGAGCAGAACATGCTTGTGCCAGGAGCTGGAGAGCTTCCCAGCTTTGGTCATCTCTTTCTCCAATGACTCTTGGCAGAATTTACCTAGAGAAGCAGGTGAGTGAATGTAAAGTATACACTGCAGCCCTAGCTGGTTTGATTCAATGGATAGAGCTTCGGCCTGTGGACTGAAGGGTCCCAGGTTTGCTTTTGATCAAGGACACATGCCTGGATTGTGGGCTTGATCCCCAGTAGAGGGCATGCAGGAGGCAGCCGATCAGTGATTCTCTCTCATCATTGCTGTTTCTAACTCTCCCTCTCCCTTTATCTCTGAAATCAATAAAAAATATATTGAAACAAAAGTATACACTGCAGCCATCTTAAAGCAGCAATAATCTACAAAGGAAAATGCTGTATGCCATAGATGTTTGTGGCCACCTTATTTAAAATGGCCAAAAGAATGGAAGCAACCTAAATTGTTCAATAACCCAACTGCAGCCATTAAAAATCTGAATAGCTTCTGTAGTTTTATGCTCTGGGCTAAATTGCATATGGTTAACCTATATATTGTCATTGATGAAGATTTAAATATATATGTACCAGATAAATACCTTGTTGGTACCAGTCCCAAAGTTGCAGTTCAGGTTTTCTTTCAGGTTGTTACTGCTAAACTCAGCCATTTAAATTCTATGTTAGCTCTCATATGGCATTTTTTGTTATGCTAATCTGTTTGGGGTTTTTTCCCCCTTTGTTTTGGAACATTTTTCATTTCTTTTCCTAGCAAATACAAGCCCCAGTAAGACAACAGCCAACAGTTCAGACAACCCCACCTCCTACTGTCCAGGGACAGAAACTTGGATCTCTCACTCCTCCATCATCCCCCAAGACTCAACGTGCTGGACACAGGCGGATTCTCAGTGACGTAACCCACAGTGCAGTCTTTGGGGTCCCTGCCAGCAAATCAACCCAGCTGCTCCAGGCAGCTGCAGCTGAGGCCAGTCTCAATAAGTCCAAGTATGTGATGCTTCTCCTTTATTCTTCTTACTTTGTGGGCAAGGTCTACCGTGGGCTGTTACTGTGATTCTTTGCATATGTTTGTGTGTAGATGTATATGCAGTGGTATGCATCTGTGTTTAATAAGAAACTGAATTTGCCTGTAGTGCATAAACCATACTGATCTTAAGAAATAATTTCCTATTGTGTCACTGTTTCCGTTCTCTCATCTAGTACATGTTTTACAGAGTATTTTCTAAATTCTTGATATGACCAAGTTTTCATGCTGAAAATCTTACCTCCCTCCCCCCCACTCCCCTGGTTGCCTGTGGGATACTGTTTGAACTCATTGGTTAACAGACCAAAGATCTTCTGCCTCACATTGGTGGACTTGTCATTCTCCATCTTCACCAGTGCTTTGTTCAGCCAATGCCCTCTCCCTTAATTGCACTGTCCTCCTTGTCCACTAAGGAGATGCTTATCTTTTCATGAAGATCAATGTCAGAGGCCACCTCTCCTTTAACCCTTCCTCTGGTATCATTTATAATTTGTTGTGCACGTATCCCATTGTATTATCATTATTTATTTGTATGTCTATATGAGTATCTCATCTAGCTGACAGCCTGAGAGTTCCTCCAAGACAAGGATTATGTCTAAAGCAACCTTTGCAAATCCAGTGACTAGCTATGGGCCTGATATAAAGTAGATGTAGATTGCAATGAATGTTTGTGAAGTAAATGCAATTTTAGGCCCTCAGCTTTCTTGGAACCATATACTCTAAAGTTAAAAATCTTTAACTCATTAGCTAAATGCAAAGGGCATCAAGAGAGACTTAGAATAAAATTAAGTAATGGTACCTAGAAGCACAAGATGGTGGTCTTTATTTCTCTTTAACTGTGATAGGTGACCATAGTTTTATGCATGCTAGATCCAACAGATGGGAGGCAGCTTGAACAGGCATCAGTCCTAGCCCTTCAGGGTCCATTATTGTGGGTTATAGTGGGCACCATAAAATGCACAATAGGTTGCTTTGGGATCTTGAATTGAAAGGACTTGCAGATTAAAGGAGTAGTGGGAGATAGTGAATCATTAAGAAAATGGAAACATTTATTTTGCACACAGTGGAAAGGGGTCTATAGAGATTGTCCAGTTGCCATGGAAAGCCCTTTTTTAAAACCATTGTGGAAAATAATGGTTTGACTTGGAAAAGAATTTGCTCTTGAAACAAAGAGAAAATAGGTTGTACCTTTTCAACTTTTATATGTCTTCTTATTTTGTGGGGGTGGGAACTTACCTAGGTCTGCAACCACCACTCCATCAGGCTCTCCTCGGACTTCCCAACAAAATGTTTATAATCCTTCAGAAGGTTCTACGTGGAATCCCTTTGATGATGACAATTTCTCCAAACTCACAGCTGAAGAACTGCTAAATAAGGACTTTGCCAAGCTGGGAGAAGGTGAGTAATTGGTATCTTTGTGATTCTTGAAATCTTATTCTTGAGGAGTATACATGTAAAAATGTAGGCTTGGGGCCCTGGCCGGTAGGGCTCTGTGGGTTACATCACTAAGAATCCGCCTGTGTACTGAAGGATCTTGGGTTCAATTCCTGCTCATGGGCATGTATAATAGCTAGGTTGCAGGTTTGGGCCCTAGCCAGGGCACATGGGAGAGGCATGTTTCTCACTCTTCTCCCTCCCTTCTCTTCTCTAAAATCAATGGCAAAAAAAATAACTTTGGGTGAGGATTTTTTTTAAAATGTAGGCTTGGATCCCCCAAAGGTTTGATTGAGCCTGCAACCTGGGCATGTGCCCCTGACTGGAATTGAACCCAACACCCTTCAGTACACAGGCCGACGCTCTATCCACTGATCCAAACGGACTAGGGTTTAACCATTTTTAAGTGTATAGATCAGTAGCGTTAATTATATTTGCATTGTGGTGCAGCCAATCTTCAGAACGCTTTCCCTCTTGCAAAACTGATGTGTTCTCTCTTTTGATTCTTAAAAACTCCTTTCATTTGTCAGTGGTTCTCTCAGCTACTGTAGTGACTATACAAGGACCTCTGGATGGCTGAGGTGTCACCATAAGACACTAAAAAATGAATGAAGTCTAGAAGTCAGTGCAGAGAGTGCTCTGAGGATGTGTTCTGTGATTCTGCTGGCGTGAACTGAATGGTCTTGTGTCCCTCTAGGCAAACATCCTGAGAAGCTTGGAGGCTCAGCTGAGAGTTTGATCCCAGGCTTTCAATCAACCCAAAGTGATGCTTTTGCCACTTCTTCATTTTCTGCAGGAAATGGTTAGTATCGCAAATACCTGAAACACAAACTCACTCTTGTCACCTTCACACTGTTTTCCACTTCACAGATAACTCTAACATACCAATGAGCCCAAAACCCTGTTGGTAATTTAGTATTTTCCTTTATTCCAAAGACTTCCAATAAAAAAGATAGGGATAAAGAAGTTGTAACGTCACTTTCAATTAAAATGACAGGATGATCCAATGGTAATATATAGGATTTGTTCTATCTAGTCCATAGACATGTTTTAAGCAAATATTTCTAAATTTGAGGAGCATCACACTGAGACTATGCTGAGCTGTGTATTTTTTGTTTGTTTTGTTAATCCTCACCCAAGGATATTTTTCCCATTGCTTTTCAGAGAGTGTGGAAGGGAGGTGGGAGGGGGAGAGACAGAGGGAAAGAGAGAAACACCTATGTGAGAGAGGCACATCAACTGGTTGCCTCCCACATGTGCCTCGACTGGGGATGGCGAGTGATCTCACAACCTAGATATGTGTCCTTGACCTGGAATCGAACCTGCGACCCTTTCGTGCTGTGTCCATTAAGTCAAACTGGTTAGGGTGAATTTTCCTCTTTATTAATAACAATTATACATATTTTTAATGTAAAATTTAGTAATTTATTGAAAAGCATAGAAAAGAAAGTTAAAAGCTTCATGATTTCACCACTGAGCAATTAGCACAGGGATATTATTTTGATATCTATTCGTGATATTTAACCTTTTTAAGGTCACAGACAGTTACCTATGTGAATCTAATGAATCTTATAGATTTTCTCCCTCATGAATAAGCAAGTGACCATAATTTTGTATAGTTTTAGACCTCAGATTAATAATCTCTGTACATATTTTTTTTAATTTAATAAATCTTTATTGTTCAGATTATTACAATTGTTCCTTCTTTTCCCCTCATAGCTCCCCTCCACACGGTTCCCACCCCACCCTCTGCCCTTATCTCCCCCGCACTGTCATCATCCACGATTTTTGTACAGTCTCTTCCTGCACCCCATACATTCCTTTCCCTTTGAGAATTGTCAGTCCACTCCCTTTCTATGCCCCTGATTCTATTATATTCACCAGCTTATTCTGTTCATCAGATTTTTTATTCACTATATTTTTAGATTCACTTGTTGATAGATATGTATGTATCTGTTATCTATAATTTTTATCTTTACCCTTTTTTTCTTTTTCTTCTTCTTAAAGAATACCTTTCAGCATTTCATATAATACTGGTTTGGTGGTGATGAACTCCTTTAGCTTTTTCTTGTCTGTGAAGCTCTTTATCTGACATTCAATTCTGAATGATAACTTAGCTGGGTAAACTTGGTTAGGTTCTTGCTATTCATCACTTTGAATATTTCTTGCCACTGTCATTTGGCCTGCATAGTTTCTGTTGAGAAATCAGCTGACAATTGTATGGGTATTCCCTTGTAGGTAATTAACTGTTTTTCTCTTGCTACTTTTAATATTCTCTCTTTGTCTTTTGCTCTTGGCATTTTAATTATGATGTGTCTTGGTGTTGTCTTCTTTGGATTCCTTTTGTTTAGGTTGTGTGTGCTTCCTGGACTTGTAAGTCCATTTCTTTCACCATATAGGGGAAGTTTTCTGTCATTATTTCTTCAAATAGGTTTTCAGTACCTTGCTCTCTCTCTCTCTTCTTCTGGCACCCCCATAATTCAGATGTTGGTACACTTGAGGTTGTCCCAGAAGTTCCTTACACTATCTTCAAATTTTTGGATTCTTTTTTTTCTTTTTTCTGGTTGAGTGTTTTTTGCTTCTTTGTATTTCAAATCTTTTAACTTGATTCATACGATCCTCTAGTCTGCTGTTGGGTCTCTGTATAATATTTTTTATTTCCGTCAGTGTATGTTTAATTTCTAGTTGGTCCTTTTTCATATCCTTGAGGGTCTCACTAAATTTATCAGCCTTTTCTAGGAAATTCTTGAAAAACCTTATAACCATGGTTTTGAACTTTATATCCAGTTGTTTGTTTTCCTCCATTTCTTTCATTTGTGATCTGTTTCTTTTCCACATTTTGGCTGCTTCCCTGAGTTGATAAAGTGGCTTTGTGTATTAGGTGTCCTATGTGGCCCAGTGGCTCAACCTCCCCCAGTTACCTGAGGTGGACACTCTTGGTGCACCCCTTTATGGACTGTGTGCACAGCCTTGTTGTAGTTAAATCTTGATTGTTGGTATCACTGGGAGGAATTGACCTCTAGGCCATTTGGCTGTGAGGATCAGCAGTACCTACACTGGGAGGACTTCTGTGCTGGAGACACCCTTATGGGAGAAGACTGCTCAGCGTGGATGGGGCGGAGTCTCAGGGTGGAGCAGACAGCTTTGGCTCTCTATTAGCCCTGCCCTATGAGGCCCCTGGGTCTCATTGTCCCTCGGTAATCACTGCAAGCACCTCTGAGAGAAAGCCACTCTTAAATTTTGTTTGCTGCCAGACAGTCCAGTTTTTCCCCCGAATGAGTCTGGTTTCCCAGAAACTCGCCCAGTACGGGAGTTCAGCGCAGTCGGGAGCTTCCGTCTCCCTCCCACTTTAGAAAACTCAGCTGCCCGTGCACTCAGCAGTCAATCCTCTCTGCATGCGCGTGCCTCCACACCTCTGCCTTCCACAGCTCCCCTGAGTCTCAGTGTGCTTTTTCTTTTCCTGACAGTCCAGATTCCCCCCCAAAATGAGTTTGGGTTCCCAGAGTCTTGCCCGGGACTGGAATGAACTTTAGGAGTGAACTTCGGAAGCTTCCATCTCTCTCCACTTTAGAAAGCCAGCCATGCACTCAGCCGCTGTGTAGTCAGTCGCCCATTCTCTGCATGTGTGCACGCGCATATCCATACCTCAGCCTTTTGCAGCTCCTGATTCTCGAAGAGCTTTCCTCTTTCCTTCTTGTTGTAGAATTTCCACTCAGCCAGCTTTCCTGTGGTTCTTGCTGGTGTCTGTTTTGTCTCTTAGTTGTAGTTTTGATATTGTTGTACAAGGCTACAGTTTATGTGTTTAACTATGCCACCATCTTGGTTTCTCCCCTCTGTACATTTTTTTAATCATATATTTTTTATTTTTTTATTTTTATTTTTTTATAATATATTTTTTTAAGTTTTAAAATATATCTTTATTGATTTTTTTACAGAGAGGAAGGGAGAGAGATAGAGGTCCTGAAATGTATAATCATATTTTAAAACCTATTTATTTCACTTAATAAATCTGGCATGTTTCCCCCATATTATTAAAGAATCTCCTAAAATATGACTTTAAAAATACCTGCATTAAATGCCTTTATATGGATATATCTTAATGTTTTTAACTAAATCTCTCTTTCTTTTTTCTTTTATTTGTTAATTCTCACCTGAGGATATTTTTTCCATTGATTTTTAGGGAAGGAAGGAAAGAGAGAGAAACACCAATGTGAGAGAGACACGCTGGTTGCCTCTTGTATGGGCCCAACTGGGTCTGGGGATCGAACCTGCAACCCAGGTACTTGCCCTTGACTGGGAATCGAACCCATGACCTTTCAGTGTGCAGGCCAACGCTCCAACCACTGAGCACACCCAGCTGGGCATCGCAAACTGAATATTAAAATGCATCGTAAAAAAATGGTAAAGTAGAAACAAGGAGACCTGGGTTCTGATCCTAGATCTGCTGGTGTACCTTTGGCTAATCTCTTAACTTCTGGGCTATATTTCCTTTTCTGAAAAATAAGAAAATTATACTAGAAAATCCTAAGATCTCTTCAAACTCTGATATCCCATATGGCGCATAGATTTCTGTAAATCTATAAGTTTGTCAAATATAGAATGAATGCCAATAGTATGGAAGATGTAGTCTAAAGATTAGGGGTTGTCTAACTTTGCGGGAGGCAAGAAGTCTGTCTCCTCCTGTCTGTCTGCCTAGAACTATATTAGTGACACAACACCTCAAGAGGATAATGGTTACATAGGAAGTACCTATATATACATGCTAGATTACAGAATAGATAATGTTTGTTTACATGCCAAAACGTGCAATATGGACAGTAATTGCTGTACCAATTCGAAAAAGATTACTGTGGGTTTCCACAAAAGGAAAAGTGGAATTTCAGCTGTATGAATATCCTCGTTATTAATTACATCTTAGAGTATGTTGCAAGGACCAGATTATATATTTCATACATACTTTTCTGTTACACTGTATTATATCCACTTATCCCTTTTTATTCTACCTCTGAGTTTATACTTGTTCTCTAATTTGATGTGTTGGGTTAATACCGTGGTCGGCAAACTGTGGCTCACGAGCCACATGCGGCTCTTTGGCCCCTTGAGTGTGCCTCTTCCACAAAATACCACGACCTGGGTGAGTCTATTTTGAAGAAGTAGCGTTAGAAGAAGTTTATGTTTTAAAAAATTTGGCTCTCAAAAGAAATTTCATTCGTTGTACTGTTGATATTTGGCTCTGTTGACTAATGAGTTAGCCAACCAATGGGTTAAAAGATAGTAAATTCATCTAGATTTACTGGATATTTTCTGCTTTTCTCTTTTTTCTCTCTCCTTGACCCTTCCTTCCCTTCCAACCAACTCCAGCTGAAAAAAGGAAGGGTGGACAGGCTGCGGATTCTAGCCTCCCACTTCTAAGCGTGTCTGATCCTTTCATTCCTCTTCAAGTACCTGATGCACCAGGTAGGTAAATAGAACTGATCTGAGGTTAACCAGCTTGATTCTTATGTCCCAGAGTCTCTTGAGAGTTGGTTTTAAACACTCCATGAAAAGGATCTGAATTCCATATTAGTCCAATAATGATTATAACAATATTGGGGAAGGCCTATAAGCATGTGATAAAAGGAACAAAATGTGAATAGTAGTTAATAGTATGATGAGTAAATAATGGGTGTCTTACTTCCTGTCCATTGCCATTTTCCTGTAATATACTTTAATTTTATAATATGAAAATGCATAATAAAAGTTGATAGGAAATGTGAGTCAGGAAACCTGAGTTTCTTTTCTAGCTCTTCCACTACCTGAAAACCTTCGGGTTTGACTCTTCATCAGTGGAGTGAATGGACTGCATAAATTCAAATATCCCTTTAAATCTACCGTATCCTGATTTTTTAAGTGAGCAGTCCAAAAAAAGAAAGAAATGGTTAGTGTGTTCTGATTGAAACAGCTTTTGAAACATAATTTGCAGTTTCTGAATGCCAAAGATTTCTTTCCTGCTCTCCTCCCCATCCTTTTGGGGAGGGGTGGAGAAGCGTGATGTGAAGAACAGAAGCCGCTTTTCCTCATCTCTATCCATGTCTTTGAAAAAGCAAATAGATCCAGCTCCTTCGAAGCATCTGGTGGTTGTTTTCCTTTTCTCTAGTTTTTTTCCTTGCTGATTCTTGGTCTTAAACTGATAGGATCTGACTAATTTCCCCTCCTTTCCCCTTTCCACCCCCACCCCTCCCAAATGTTAAAGGTGTTTGATTAATTGCCTCAAGATTGGAAGTGATTGTGATATTCATACCCTCTCCCTACTAAGACAGACTGTAACTCGGGCACCAAGATAGTTTTTATTTCTTTAGGCAATTTGTTGATCATTCTAAAAGGAAGCAAAAACTTGCCTTGATCAGGTATTATTGTGTAACATTATAGCTTGCTGGACCTAGATGGTGAATGTAGGTAAAATATATCTAAAACCATTGAGGAATGATTCAGTAAGGGTAGTTAAAGAAAAGAGAAGAAAGTAGTCAGATCTTTCAGGAGCTAGTCAGGCTAGTTTCAAGCAGAAGGCTGGAAAGGGATGGATTACAAACTCAAGCTGAGTTCCATTGATCTCTTTTTCCTCCTTGTTGTAACAGTCATAGGATCAGACAAGAAAAATGGATCATTACGGCATTCTTCCTTTGACACTCCTCAGGTTCTTGCATTTTTCTTACCTAGACAGCCCGTGGCTGCGTATGCTGAAAGGGTGGCCTCTTGGCACAAGCCAGAGGATGAAGCCCACGAAAGTAGCTGTGCTCTGCAGCTGCGTAGGAACCTTTTGGATTAAGGGTGAGGGGCCAAGCACATGCACTTGGTGACTCAGGATATCAACTCCAGGTTTTATTTTATTATTTAAAAATATATTTTATTGATTTTTTACAGAGAGGAAGAGAGAGGGATAGATGAGAGAGAAACATCGATCAACTGCCTCTTGCACACACCCCACCGGGGATGTGACCACAACCAAGGTACATGCTCTTGGCCACAATCGAACCTGGGACCTTTCAGTTCGTAGGCTACCGCTCTATCCACTGAGCCAAACTGTTTTTGGCTCAACTCCAGGTTTTAGAGATACAATTAGAAGATGTGAAGATGAGCCTTGGGCCATTAGAGCCAGCTGGCTGCCATGATTACTTTCTTTATTGTTATCTTTCCTGTCTCTTGGCCTTCCAGATTTCTCTCATTCTGGAGGATTCCTGCTAAAATGTTAGTGGTATACACTTTAATACCAATTAAGCCATGACTCCTCTTGGGTTTTAATGGAAAATCTATTAAAATGAAACATTCTTATAGAGAATTCCAAGAATGCTTTATTTGTTTCCTGGTTCATCTGACCAGACTTTTGTGTTGAAAACATAAAGCAACATATCAGTGTTTTGCGATCCAGGGAATTCTCGTATCACTGAGCATAAAATCCAGACTTATTACCAGGATCTAAAGGCCCTAACTGATCCTGTCCTTGGCTACTCCTCTAACCTGAGCTCGTAGCCTCTTCCCCTCAGTCTTTCCTTTAATAGAATAAACTTGTTCCCACCACAGGGCCTTTGCACTTGCTGGTACTCTACCTGAAAAGCTTTTCCTCCAGCTCTGTTTCTTGTCATTCTACCTTTAGGTCTCAGTTTAAATACTCTCTTCTCAGAAAGGTGCAACGTGGTCCCATGGGCACTTAGTCACATGTCCTGGCCTTTTTCTTCATAGTGTTTATCATTGTCTTTTTTTCATTTGTTTATTGTCTGATTCTCTTCGCCAATATGTCAGAGTCCTGAGGGAGGGACTTTGCCATCTTCATTCATCACTGTGTTGCCAGTGTTGAGAACACTGCCAGGAAAGTCAGCACTCGATGAATATGAATGAATGAAGTAAAACCTGAGGCTGAAAGGCTTCTGGTGGCCCCATTACTCTCCATTTCCGTCCCAGTTCCCAAACACCAGATTACTGGCCTCATGGCCTTCCATCTTTGCCTCTGCCAAGCCCCAGCCAGGCCCCCATCCATTCCTTGAGGGTGTACAAATGAAGGCACAGCCCACAGTTTCAGGAAGCTGCCAAACCCCAGGCTCAGCCTGATAGCTAGGCTCAGCAGATCGTTCAGCTCCAGCCTTACACAGTACCCTCCAGAATTTGATCTGAACGTGGTTATGTGTCTATGATTATTTTATTTATTTTCATGTTCAGCCCATAGCACCATTCAGTTATATAGTTTCTTATCCAAGACCCCTATATCTTTCTTTAGTGGCTTGAAATGTCTGAGTGAGGAAAGTGCTAAGAGTTTAGGGAATCTGGTACCTCCACAAACCACAAATGTGTCTCCTCACCTCCTGTTCCCCCTGACACGCAACCAGTTTGTCACTACATTCAGCTCAGTGTGTGCACAGTCAGGTTTTTGGTAGGTTTGTTTTGTTTTACATACTTGCTTACCTTCCGTACTCTTCTTGAGAATAAGAATCATGAAATCTTAGTCTCCTGACAAATACATGTATTTTAAAGTCTTAGCATTTGTTTTTATGCTTTTAAAACATTAGATATAATTTCATTTGATCCTACAAATAACACTTGAATGGTAAGTATGTTGAGGAATTTTCCAGCGGAAGGAAGTGAAGCCTCAGTGCTATGGGGTCTGTGCTGTTCCACATCCTCTCTTCATGGCCTGTCCCCCGAGCAAGACCCCCCAGCAGTGTGTCTGAAACATAAAGCAACATATCAATGTTTCTTTGACTTTGGGGCAGTTCCAGGATCAATAAGGCCTTTGGCTAGAGAGCTAAATATAAGGGATGGGGAAATATGATATAAAAATGGATTTGAACTGTAAGACTTAGGGTCTAGCCACTTAATAGCTGGGTGATTTTGGTCAAATCACTTAAACTGTGTTCTCAAAATTGTCAATATTAACACCTACCTTAATGGAGTGGCGCAAGAGGTGCAGATGAAACCATGTATTTGAAATCATTTTGTAAACTTGAAATTAGTATAAAGATAGGAAATGCTATAACAACTTTGATCCAAGATCCTTATTTCCAGTGTGGCAGTCCTAGTTATCTTAATGTCTAAATGATTTTTTTCCCTAAGAAATTAAACTTCCTCTAAGTTAAACCTTTGACCTTGGCACAGCTGAGAGCTGTTAGACTTCCTTGATAGAATGATGGTTAAAGTAGGGGCACTGGATGATTGGATTTGTTTCATTTTTATTTTCCAAAGCATCATTTTAAAAAAAACTTTTAAAAAAAATCTAGTGTAAAAAATCACAGCTTGAGCATTTGTGTGCTCACAAGGAATTCTTATCAGAGCTATTTGCCTGGCATTTTCCTCATTTCCAGCTTCTGTCAAGGTTGATCATAGTACGTGTCTTTACTCTTCAAAGTTCATCTGCCTGCAAATTCAGTTCTCTAGAATGAACTTGGAATGGGGCATGGTTGTTGACTTTTGCTTCTAACTTGCAGCTGTTACAAATTTTAGTGTCCGGTTTCTCAGTGATAGGAACTATTTAGATGTTAAAAACAGCATCTCTCATCACAAGACTTCAGAGCTTACTCCCAAATTAGAGAAGAAGTAAATTTCCAAAGCCACCAAGGTGTAGCAACCAAATCATTATTTTTGATGGGGCCCTTTTGTGTTGGTAAGTTCATCCTGCTTTATTCCTCATGCCTGTGTTCCTAATTAGGGTTGGAGTGGGCCTTGAACAAGCCCTTAATCTTATTGGCCTATAATAAACAGATATACTTATCCTCTCTTTTGATATATGTTTTAAATTTATATATTGACTTGAGAGAGAAACATCGATTTATTGTTCCATTTATTTATGCATTCATTGGTTATTTCTTGTATATGCCCCGATCAGAATTGGACCTGTAACTTTAGCTTATCAGTATGAGTTTCTAACCCAGTGGTGGGCAAACTCATTAATCAACAGAGTAGCAAACCACGGCTCGCAGTTTGATGACCACTGCTCAACCATCTGAGCTTCCCAGCCAGTGCCCCTTTCGATATTTAAGAGAGAACTCACAACTTGCAGTACCTTCCAGACTCATGGTAGAAAATGGTTTTGATGATGTAAACTTAGATTTGTTTATGAAGGATTTATTACCTTCTTGCCTTGTAGTTGATATGTTTTTGTAGTTGACATTTTTAATAACAAAGTCTTGAAAGGAGAGGGATAAGAGAAAAACCTGAAATGGATTAATTTCTACTTCTAACTCTAGCAACTATTTCCTTCTCTCTTTCCCTAGTCTCCAATGCCAATTTTGTTTAAGAAAAGAGAGGAAGGTACTTTCTCTTACCTATCCCCTTAATTTCAAAGTATTAATAATCCTCTCCTTTAAGACCACTCTCCATTTCCATTGCCCATGTTAACTAATTCTGTAGGTACTGTCCTTGAGTTCACCTTCTCAGTATTTTAACCTTGATTTCAGTGCTTCTCCAAACTCAATCTGACTTATTTTTACTTG